AAATTTAATGATATTGTGAGGATACCAACATCCAGCAAAGGAAAGTAATTGTTTTTTCTCAGTGCAAAGGAGTTGCACTTTCCTGTTGCAATTTGTAAGAGAAATTACATCTATCAGCTTAAGAGGATGGCATTTAATAAGCCTTTATTTTCTCTCTTCTTGTAGGGAAGGTCATTGGAGAATTGCCTTCAAGCATGACATGAATAACAACTGCCTTTCCTTCACAAGAAAAGTCTCTGTCTTTTATGTGGCTGAAACAGGATCCTAGATTTCTGTCTGTGTGTTCTGGTGAATCTGTATTCCACTATATTTTCTTACTGTTCTTAACCTTTTAAAATGTAACTCTTTTCGTAATCATCACTTTTACTACACTATGATAACTATACAATTATTACTTGAGAAGTTTACATTTTAGAAATGAAAAGCATGTGAATTTTTAACCAAATTACTGACTCTGATCTTGATAAACCGTAACACCGGAATAATAGCAAAAACTATTCATGGGGATTTTCTTTTTCCAAAATAAAACAACCCAAAAGTGAATAATTAAAGTATAAAGCTAAATGCTATTAGTGCTGAAGTAATGTCCTCAGGGGACGTTTTGCTTCCATTAGCAAGACATGGAACCAACTTTAATTTTTTTCAAGTGTATCTCAGTGCATAAATGACACATTTTAGTAACTGCTGAACACAATATGTAGCAGAGGCTTGATTTCCAAAGCATGTTTATTGCAATACTTCTAATCAGTAAGCCGACTTCTGTTTTGTTTTTGTAAAAGTACTGCTGCGGTGCAATTTTCTTCACATATTTAAAATGTTACCAAACAGATACTAAGAATCTGTGAACACCCAAAGATAATTGCATGCATTGTTGTCACAATTTGCAATACACAAAATTTACTAAAATGTGCTTGGTCATTTGCCTTCACTTTTTTGATAGAGTGCTTTTACAAGAACAACTTTTTTTAATAGTTTTTTAATTTTGTCTACTTTCTATTGTTTGTATTAATCTTTTAGAAGTTTGGAAATAAAATTCCTATCCCCCTTGGCTTTGAACTCATTGTGTAATTGTAACAAAGAGCAGCTACTGTAAGTAAGAGGATACTTGGATTTTGCTGTGGAAGGGAAGGCCTCAAGCTCTTTGCTTTTTCGGGAAGAGAAGGTAACTGTTGGATTTTTAGAAACTGTATCTTACTAGTAGAAAAATCTCATTATTATCTATTGACCACAGTGGTAAATACTAACAATGTTATGCAGCTCGCTTACACATTTTGAAGCTGTAAGGAAGAACTCTGCAGTCTAAGTACTTAATGTTCATGAATGTCAACTGAAACAGGGCAACAGTTTCCTCCAGGCAGTTCAGTCTTTGTCAAATATTTTTATGTTGCTGTCCTGCATAAAGACACCAACATAAGAGCTGTAATACTGCCAGTATGTATTGTGCCTTTAAATACAGAAAAGAATGTCCTTCCTTCAGAGCTTTTCTTCACTCTGACTTCCTTTCACTGAAGGCTATTTAAGTATTGCAGTTTTTCTGTTAGTACTGGACGCAGGTACAGAAGTCTAGAGAAAGCCAAGCCACTCTTGCACAGAGGCCAAAATGTCAAAGATACTGATGAGTGTATACACCAAAAGCCTTCGGACAGCAAGCATATGTCTGCTGCCTACTTCCTCCCAGGCACAGCCTTCATATTTCTTTTACCTCTTACGATTAAATCTCCCTTCTTCCCAACACCTGTTTCCCTCCCTGTTGCATACACTTTCAGGCTCAGCAATGTCAGTTGGAGCTTGGGTTTTGAAGTAGCTGCTGAGCTGGCAAAAGGAGTGGCCAAATCACAGTGGGCAGCAGAGAGCCACCACCACTAGACAGCCAGTCAAACACTGCTGTCTCTTGGCCACCCTGCCCAACTCCATCTGGTCTCTTGCAGCTGGAGCACCAGGTGAACACAGTTGGAGTAGCAATGTGAGCATACTGCAGGACCTGGCTGCATCAGTGTCTTGCACCAGCAAGTACTGTAAAGATCTGTGCAGCAGCTGTGAGATGGATTGGGAACACTCCACTCCAATGTCCCTCTGAGCATAGTGTTTATTTCTCAGACATGGATTCCAGCCTCTTCAAAGGAGTGTGGTTGCTGCACCTCTTTGCTTGCAGGACAGTGTGTACTGGAGCTGCTGGGTAGAAACAGGGAGAAGAATGAGAGCTACCTCTGCCCTCCCAGGCCATGTTCTGTGAGAGAAGTCGAGTGTCAGAGCAAGCTCCAAAACAATTGGTTGGCACTGAGGCTCTTTGGTTCCTCTTGGCAATCAGTTTGGTGAAGTGTGCCACTGCTGGCTATTTTGTGCTGGCTGGGTGAAGTGGCCACATCTCAGCGGCTCAGCATTGCAGGTCCCCTTTCCTTGGCATAACCAAGGAACCTGACAAATGAGCCTGGGCAGCTGAATGCTTCTGTAGGCAGGAGAACATGTTGTCCCTTACCTATCCAGGCTACAGGGCAATGTCTTTTCTACAGCTGCAGGTGTACCTGGGTTTGCACAACTGCTGAACTGAACTCGGCAATAGCTTAGACCAGAGCAAGCACCACCTTTTGCCACTTCTGCTCCAAGGTGTGATCTGCAGTGAGGTGGACAACTATGGGCAGCATCTCAGCTTCCTTTTCCAAAGACAATCCAAGAGAGCTAGCTGCAGTGCAGAGGCCTTCAATGCCATCTGATGGCAGCATGGCCTACAGGACACCCACAGTAAAGACTGAGTGAATGCACACATTTGTATGCCCAATGCCTCATATGAGCCACAAGCCCCTTTTTCTCACTGTCATCTCTCCCAGCTGATCAGCAAGGCCTCCATCTGCCTCCTGCCTGGTCACTAACACGTTTATAAACTTTTTCTAGTAATGGAGTGTCGCTACCTACTGATGTAAGACTGGAGATTAGATTTTGTACTGTGCCTTTTTGCCTAAGAATTAGTTGCTTCCTAATTCATAGTAATAGGTAATTGGGGGAGGGAGGGGTAAATGGGAGGGGGGATTGGGAAGGGGGCATCTCTGTAGTTCAGCAGTTTTACTCCATATTAAACAGACAAAAAAGGGGGAAAATGTCATATTTTATAAATTTGTCAATGTGTATCTGTGAGAGACTAAGATTTGTCATAAACAAATACAGTAAAAAACAATTGGTTACTGCAAGCCCTTTCCCTTATTTCCCCCTATATTACCAGTAATTTTATTGTACAGACATTTCTTTTACCTAATGGAAACTTAACACAGACAGCACTTGAATGTTTTTATTTAATGTAGACAACATGCTTTTTTCTTCAAAGTTATCTACAGATTATCTATGCTACACTTTCACAACTGTTCATGTGGCAATTCTGGTGTCAGCCTTTGCCTGTTGAAGAGGAGAACATAAATACTTAGCTTGGCACTGGCAGCTATAATTTTCTCAGACTGTGGTCATCTGTGACTGAGACTTTGTAGAGCTGTACTTAGGAAAAAAAATTCCTGGTTCTGGAAATTTGGGAGGTAGCTCTGAACAACATAACCCATGATGCAAAAGAAGTAAAATGGTCAGGTCCAGGTGACCACAAAAATGGGCAATGGATAGTAAGAAAATTGCAACTTTCATTTGTATCTTTCTCTTATTCTAGGAAAGAGTGGCTTGTTTGCAATTTTACTAGAAATCTTTTTACGTTATCACTTGTCAAAGATATTTTCTCAAATCTTGCAAACAACCAGTATACAAATAATTCAGGGATATTACTGTGAACTAAAATTGCAGTTAGTGCTGTCATAGCTTTTAAGAATTCAGTCAAAAAACAGCACTCTGTTTTCTCTGAGAGATCAAATCTTTCTTCCCTAAGTGCTGGTTTCATTTGCTCAAATAGTGAGTATGTGCTTAATGAAGGCTTCATGTCAAGTAAATATTTAAATGCAAGCATAAACCTTAAACTTGGTGGTTTTTCTTTTATTACTTCCCTGCCCCACCCCACCTTTCTGTTACTGCATCAAACTTAAAAATATTAGTGAGTTTGAAACCTGAAACATCTCAGCTGAAGGCCACTGAATGGAGAGAGACATTCTGGAGCTGGCTGGCATGCCTATGCAAACCGTTTATGCATTCCTGGAGCAGAATGGACTTACTGTCTGCCATTGCTCCCACACATATTTCCAGTTTTATTGCCAAATCTTTTGATGGAAAGTGAGGGTTTGGGTACTATTCTATCCTGTTCTTTAGATTACAACTGAAATATATATTTTATTTTTTAAATTCCATCTTTTGCTCCTTCTAGTTGTACCCTATAATATCTGGATCTGCCTCCCAGATGACTTTCATCCCCCTACTTGCCAATGCACTGCAGAAGACTGAGAAACATGGATGCCAACAAATGGCCTCCAGCAGGTTATACGAAGGGTGATAGTCACAGCTCAGTCCCCTGAATCAAATCTATGAGAATACTAAATTTCAACACAGTCTTCAGATGTCATCCATAAAACAAAGACCTTTTCCTAGACTGATGATGATTAAAACGAACTCAGGAACTTATCACATTGCTCCTGAAGGAGCTGTCAGAAGAAGAAAAGTGGAACACAGCCCAGGGGACAGCTACAAAAAGTCACAGCTGTAACTGCAAAAAATCTCTAAGACTTTGAGAAGCCTTGAGATTCTGGCAGATCTAGCCCATCTTTACACTGGAAAAACAGCAGGCTCAGGGAGTAAACACAGGTACCCAGAAAACTCAGAGTGAGCCTTGGCATCTGTTATTTTACATATTTTTTTTTCTTTTTTTTTAATAAAGAGTGATAAAGTAACTCTATATCACCCATGACAACAGAGAAGCAGTAATTATCCAGCTTCAAGAAACTAGTTTGTTTAGCAACATTTTAAAAATATACAGAGGAATCCTGAGCTAGTAAGAATTTCCAAATTCTAATTTATTTCTAAAAACTAACAACAATAATTTATTTATTTCCCTTTAAAGAGTTCAAGAATGAAAAACAAAAAAAGTATGTAATATGCAAATCCCCATTCTGTTCAAAAGAATTTGAGACGTGTTTGTCCATCTCTTCTTCCAGGGACTCTTTCATATGTCAGTCTCCTTTTTTTGAACTTCCGTACTTCTGGAAATCCTGACTCTGAATAAATAAGTGGGAAAAAGAAAAACCATTATAAACTCAAAATACAATATGAATGCAGACTTAAGACAAACTGTGTATGTTTCTCAGAAGCAGTGACAGACTGGTTTTAACTGGTGTGCTCCCTAAGAAAAGAATCAACTGCCATAAAATCTGTACAGATTAGTATTTGCTACTTCTTACTGCTACCTGACCCATTTTATAGATATTCTCCTGTTATAGGAATATGGGACCTTATACAAAAATAAATAAATCAACCTATACTTAACTGCAATATTTCAGAAAATATTTAATGCTTATTTCTATTTCATTAATACTTCACTCAGAACTATTTTAATTGTTGAAATCTTTTTAACCAGACATGGTCATGTTTCTAAGTTATTCTAAAAAGCTACTTACATTCTTTAAATTTACATAGGCTGAAAATTAAAAGAAGTTCACCATATCCAATTAACATTGTCTCTCTTTACCTCCATAATTACCCTAAGCAGTCCATGAAACAGTGATTTAAATTAGTTACTTATGTTTTCATGAATAAGTCTGATCTGATTAGTGAAAGCATTTTAATGCTGTGCTGACCTTGTACCATCAAGAGATTTAATGACAGCTAGCAACAGACAAATCATAAATTAAGACAACTGTACTATGTGTTAGGTACTTCTAAAAAACAAATTTAAACAAAAATAGTGACATCTCACCTACAGGGAAAAAGAAGAATTTAAAAAAATACTACAATAAATGATACAGCCATATATAGTCTCACAGGGACTTGGTTGCAAGACTCCTTGGATACATATTATGGCTTATTAAAAAAGGCTTCAGGCTTACTATATTTGATGGAATAAACCAGGAATAAGAAAACTGCAAAAAAAAATAGAAGCAAAATATTTTGCATAAGGACTGTTCACACTTTTAAGGGTAAACAAAGCTTTGAAGTACATATTATAGTATTTTTTGAAAATATAAGCTTTGGAATTATTTCAAGTGGAGAGTTTACCCCTGGAGATACTAGCTAAAGAAATACTACAGGAATAAGGAATTATATGGAAAAAACTTTGAAAATTTTCATAGTGCCGTTTTTACTCCATTAGTGCCAACAGAAAAACATAGCTATTAGCAGAACCTGAATTTCACTCTCAAGATTTGCTGAAGCTCCTTTTTGTCCTAAAAACAAGATGTTCTTTTTTTCACCCTTGTTCAAATCTATGTTTACAAAACAATCTTCCCCGTAACTTTTAAACTACTTCTAGTATGTTCATTATCTGTATTTTAGGCACTGTGAAAGAGAAAAGAAGCTGAATCTTACACTGTTGAAGAACCATGCTTTTCGATATTTCCCAGTGAAAAATAATGGCAGTAACACAATTTTAGTTCATTGGGTTTGGCCTTTTTTTCTTTAAATACCCTAAGACATCTTTATGCTCAAAACAAAACCTCTAAGGAACCTTTTATCATAGAAGAAATATATATGTATGTAAGTTTTCACAAAGAGAGCATGCAATTGTTGGGTTGAATTTGATTTAACAAGTATTTACATAAAAGATAAAATACAAACCTACAGATACTCCCTGCAACTTTGCAGTGGAGTAACTAAAAGAATTTCAGCAAAATCTGCTTACTTTGGGCCTACCTGTTTTAATTTTTTCTTTTGTCCATAAAAATGGAGGCCTTTGTTTTCTCTTTCCTTTAGATATTCTACCTATTTGGTTAAAATTTAGATTTTGAAGCTCATCTGCATCATCAAAGAAATCAGAGAGAAAACCATCATGAGCAAATGAATTATGTGGGCCTGGGGATGAAGAATCATTCCACAGGGGTTGGTCAATCTGAATTTCTGGGCTTTTAAATGCTGTGTCTCTCAATTCTTCTAGAAAACTTTTAGAGCTTTCCTGAGGTGCACAGTCACTGAAAGTTGCAAAGAAATCCTCTTTCTCAGAGTCTTTGGTAGAATGATCAGAGCTATCATGCATCCTGAAAGGCTGTCTTTGAACAGGGAGAGAATTTTTAGCTTCTGGATGAGAAAAATCTTCATAGTCCTTTGATACAGCAAAGAAATCCGGCTTCTTCCTTGTAATTACATCTGATGAGCATGCATTCTTTTGCATACAACTCGGAAGATCAGACTTAAAAAAACCCTTATGACGATTCAGTGGAGGAATTAAAGCTTCAGAATTCATATGAGATGTTCCTGGTAGAGAAAAATTTGAACCATTTTGTTTGGAGAATGAAAATTTAGCTTATTTTTTACATTTTACAGAAAATCAAAATGTCATTGAGCATTGTGATTGCAGTCTGTTTCATCAGAATAACTGACCTTACTGTAATTAGAAGATAAAGATTCCAATACATTCAGATTTTTCGCCTGGTTTCAAAGGAGACACATTTTCCTACTAATTCAAAATATTACCTGTGCTGGTTTGAGCCTTATCAAGCAGCTCTAAAATCTGAAAATTTTGTTTATTATCAAGATGCAATGTGCTGAAATTATTCTGGTTTTCTGTGTGTGATGCACCTTTCACTGGTTTTTTTAGAGCAGCAGTATTTAGGCTGTATGAAGATATCATGTCACTGAAATGCTGAAACAATAAGGAAAGTATTTGTCAGGAATGTTTATGGTACATGTCTATACTGCCAAGTACAAAAAGTTAAATCAGTTGCTAAGATTCTAAGACGCATAAATTTTTGTTTACTGGAACAAAAAAAAAAAAAAAAAAAGACCTACCAAAGGAGCAGAGACGTGCAGTACACAATGTACCACCTGTCTTAAATCTATAAACAGATTAAGTAATAGTCTCTGTCTTGGAACACAGGAAAAGCAATATCTTAATGCAGTTTATTCTCTTTCCTTACTCCAAGACGTAGGAAGCAGTGTCTGTAATGGACTGGCACCTATCATGCATCACACAGGAATTTACCTGAGCTTTTTCTGTCAATAAAGATGGCTTTGCACATATACAGTTAAAACAATAGTATGCATAATTTCACATTCAGTGCCCAAATACCTGTTCACTTGCTCCTTTACCTTAATAGAATGCTTCACCCTAAATGAATGGTATCTTCCACCATTTTCCTGAATGATAAAATATGTACATTTTTTTATTGAAGTGGATGACTATATTCAGTCTATAATTTTCCCAGACTTGACCCATCTGGAACAGTAGGAGCACACAATTCTTCATCTCTAGGGCTCTGTCAAACACTTAGTACTATGAATGGCAAGTGGTGGGTTTACTATAGGAAGGGAAGGAGGCAGGCAGGCAGGAAGGAAGGAGGGAAGGAAGGCCTGGAAATACTTAATTGGGAAACATCTTTTACATTAGAAATACACAAAAGCTTGCATGCTGATACAATACTCAGTATTGTGAAGCTTGAGGAGGAAGTTTATCTAATGAGTATTTTTACAGTTAAGGAAATGGTCTCATTATCTTCCCACAAACAAAACGGTGACTTGATAAAATCTGCTGAGAATCAGCAGACTCAATATTTTGGATATGAATGATATGCTAAAACTTGTAATTAATTTTTAAATGACAACAGCAAATGCACATGTAGCATCAGATTTAAAAAACCCCAACAAAACAACCACATATTATAACAGAGCAAGAAAATTTTTCTAATACATAAAATAATTTTGGCCAACCTTTAAAACTTTTTTTGGAACCTCTGGCAGAAGTTCTTGGAGTTGATCAAAGCTTGCAAGAAACAACCTGCTCAGTGAAAATCCCTTCTTTAACATAAACTGAGCAACCAAAGGATTGATACATGGAAAAGTAAGTAGACTTTTCTCTGTCTGGAAATGGAGATTATTTTGTTAGATTGAGAACTGACAAACTTTTAATCTTTTTTTTCCTGTTACTACGAAGTCTCTTACTGAATAAGTTCTAGAGTATACCACAGAAAGACATCTTTCAAACAGTGCACTTTTATAGTCCAATAAAAACTCATTTTTTTTTTACTACAGATGCAACATAGTATCACTTCTGAAAAAGACTAAGTTCTGCATAACAATTTGACAAAAAGCAAATCTAAAGATGTTTCTTTTCAAAAGGTTAAAAGCAGTGAATAACTTAAACTTGATTTTAAAGTGCATGACCAGATTTACTATTAATTCTCCATTTCAAAGTGAATTATCTAGATCAATATAAACTGACAAAACTGGTTCTGTTTTACAAAAGCTGTATTTGTTAAAGGCAATGAGACAGGTGGCAAAAGCAGGAATTGTCAGGGAGAGGAAGAATGTCACAAACAGGGCAGCAAGTTGAGAGTAGCTTGTTATCAGAGTCAGCTTCCTGTTCCTGACTTTCATAAAACACTGCCAGGATCAAATATCTTTAACAGAGACACAATGCAATGACTCCTCTCCATTTTTTACAGTATCCTTAATCTCTAAATTGGAAAACCTATAATCCAATACCCCTTCTTGAAAGGCCATGCCTATACCTGCTTTATAATGCTTCTGAAGTCTGCAAAAGCCAAAAACAATCTCAGCTTTACAAGAGTTCAAAGCTGTCGCATATAATGAACAAATCCATACATTTCATTTGAAAACCATACTATACAAGTTAAAGAATATAATACATTTAATGGTGATGGATGAGTCTGTTCCAGCATTTACTGTAATGAATTAAACTAGTAACTGCATGAGTTAAACAAGTTTTTACCATCTCTTTCTAAAACAAGTTGGCAAGCAATGCCACCGACTTCAGTAATGGATCAGCACTGCTGAATTTGGCTTCCTGCCCAAGTGAGCCACTGTATGTTTATCTTTTACAATTTGGGTAGCTCTTTAAACCTAGTGCCTAAAACTGTAGGACTACACAAATTGGCAGGTAGATGTGGTGGATAAAATTCCCTACAGGTTAATTGTGGAAGCACAGGAGAAATTCAAGTTGCATCTAATTGTGCTGAAAAGGATGATAGAAATATATAAATATTATATATATATATATATATCTTTGCATATATACTAGAAATATGCTGCCATATATATCTGCCATATATATCTGCATATATATATACACACACACATATATAATAATGCTTATTTTAATAATAAATTTTAAGAGAACTACAACAAAAAAGCTTAAAATTTTATGAATCTTAGAAACAGGAAGAAAACTGTAAACTTATGGGAAGAGAAGCAAACCTCAGATGGCAGGACAGAAAGCCAGGATTTATCCAGCCACTCATCAGGACTGATACTAGATGCTGTCAAAATGTTGTCAGCAATCTGACGAATTACCAATGCTGTCTCTTCAATCCCTGGTGTAAGAACTACCTAAAAGTGATACATAATATTATTGGCTAAAACTTACTCTAAGAAGTGTCTTAATTTGCTAAAGAAGTTGAGGTGAAAACTAAAGGTCACCCCGAACCAAAGAGTTGGTACTGCTGAGTAATTAAACCATGCTTATAATGCAGAAAAACTCCAACCTGTGACCACTAGCCTGGCTGCAAATTACCCTTCTTATTCATGCAAATCCTATGTAGGTGAAATTATTTGATTTATCCTATAGGTCTTTTATATGTGATCAAGTTTCTGTGTATGAGTTCCTAATAAAACAGGTAATTGTGAGATGCCCATTACAGTTTAAGAAGATGTGTAACATTTTGAAGCTGTAATTTCCAAAGAAACTACACTGCTGAGTACATGAAATGAAAAAAGCTTTGTCCTCTCTTTGTCCTTGTAACTTTCATTTAATCAGGTAAATTCTACACAAATCTTAATATACAAATAATGAGTTTCATAAAGATCTGCATTCAACGTTGGCAGCAAATAAGTGAGAAAAAGTGCCTGAAAAAATATCACTCCATTCAAAAATATAAGCTACCAACAATTTGGTAAGCTGAATTAAACTTCTGCCCCATTTTTTAATGTGGATTATTCTAGACACTAAAACAGATTTTCTAGATTCTAGACTTCCTGATTTTTAAAGAAAAAAGTTAATTTATCTTGTCACATTAAAAAAGCAAACTAGCTGACAATAAATTATTTTCTCTTCTGTCACATCAGCGACATAATATTGATCTGAAACTTCAAATTAAGACATAAGCAAGATTAATATAATAATTTATTAAATTATATTTATATTATAATATTATATTATCTATTATACTTATTAATTGATATAATAATTTATTAAAGGTACTATCTCAATTTCTGACTCCTAGTAATAAAAAGACTTCAATTGCTATTTGAATCTGATTCAACTTGTACTGCAGTCAACAGTGTTTTCACTGACTTCAGCAGCATTGAATTAAGATCCTCTCTTATTTCAGTAATTTTGAGCTATTGTATGTTTTTGATGTAGAAGGTACACTTGAGCTTTTTAGAAATATTATATAATGAAGATTAATATAGAAAAAAATTTACCTTCACTTCAAAGTCTTCTGACTTCTGTGTAAGTTCAATTAGAGTGGCATAAATTAAGACAAGGTTAAGCAGAGTATTTCCCTTGAGACTGTACCTGTAAAACAGTTTCAGTGGATCATTAATATTTAATATGCACATGTAATAATCTCAAACAATTTGTTCCATGTCTTAATAAATATATGTTTTATTTCCTGGAATTCAGAATACTGATACAGTTTGAGCATTAATATCTGTGGAAAGAGCACTAGAATACATTAAGTGACAGACTGCTGAAGGATGTACTGTAAGGAAAGAAAACAGTCAGTCTACAGAAAAGCAAGTTTGGTCTGAAGCAAAAGGTCTGGATCAAGGTCAGTCACTGGAGACACTGGAGGAAAAACAGAGAGGAAATTACCACTTGCTTATAGAAAATAAAATCTGAAAAGAAGTAATAAAGTAATGTTTGTACACTATATCAACAAAAGTTGTGCTTCCATAGCTAAAGGAGAACTACTGATGCACAGGAAAAACACTTGAAGAATGATTCCCTGTTACAAATTATATACAGTAGTATTAACACAGTAATTCATTGCCATGCATTTGTAGGGGTTAATTTACTTCAAACAGATGTAAGAGTAGTTCCAGTATTTCATATCCTTAGAATTGTGAAATTTCTGGACCTGTTGATTTGAAATGCACCTCATGTTAGTATTGCCTTCATCAAACTCTGTTATTTTATAACAACCATTTCTTTACCATTTATGTAAGACTAAAAACAGCCTTGCAAATAAGAAACAACTTTTCTAACATTTTGCTTACAATTTCACTGAGTTTTTCAGTAGAAGCATGACAACATTGTAATTAATTGAAAAACTCAAAGCACACTAGAAATATGAGCTTACAATATTTGAATTGTTATAAGAGAAATATATTCCTACAGAGAAGTTCAAAGATAAAAAAGTATCAACTTAATAAGCAGCTTTCTTTAGTGACAAGTTTGTTTTAAAAATACTAGGATAACAAAGAGAATTTAATAACTTACTCTAAACTCAGTCTTTCTCTGGAATAGAAAATAATCCAACAGCACGTATATTGGAGTGATAATGCCATCAGTCTTGATATTACAGTGTCACAGGAGTCCTCACAATTTAGTTCTTCCATAGTCTACAACAGAATTTAAATAAAGAGTAAAAACTAAATAAATACATTACCAAGGCTGCCCCAAGCTTTTAGTGAGTATCAATATAATATGCAGAAACTAGATCAAACACAAATACAGCTAAATAATGTAAGCATTAAGAGTACACATGGGAATTGGGAGAACTAGCTTGTATTCTCAACTTTTATTTTCTCGGGACTTCAAAAAGCTGATTCATAGCTTTATGCCTCTTCTTCCTTCCTCTAAGAAGAAACACTCAATACCTTTTTAGGCTGTTCTTAAGATTTTTTGTGAACTTTAATAATACAAAATAATGTTATAAACTTCTGAAACTTCTATAAACTTCTTGGCCTATACAAATCATATACCTACACTACCTATATAAAGTACAACATCACTAACTGCTTGTAGGAATATGTATGTTGTACTCCTAATACTAAGTGATTATTTTATTATGTATCTACCTTTCAGAAGCAGTCCTTCTACCTGTATTCTGTTTTGCTGCATACCAGAATTTAAGTAGTATGCTATTGCTCAAACTAATTTTTTTTTATTAAAAGTCGCACAAATTATTCTATAGACTAATTCAGATAACCATCTGATATGGAAGGAATTAATATGCACACTGGTAAGACAACAGAGCCACAAATACATGATAATTTAATCGGTTGTTACAAAATTTCTTTGTGCAACTTTATATTTATTACAATATATTTTCAAGTATGTATCCTTTAACTGCATTTCATATAATCAAATCATAAGTCAAATGTTACTTCAGTGAAGAAACTGAGAACATTTTAAACTAGTCAAACCGGCAAAGACATAATTTTAGGGTTAATGATTTGTGATGTGAAACAATGCATGAATTATATAAGATTATGGGGAAGAAAAGGTATGTCAGAAGTCTGAAGATATGGCCCAGAATTGACCAAACACATAACAGAACTTGGACATACTAGTTTCATTTTGTACCTGCAAAAAGACAGCAGTACATTCATCTATTGTCAACACAACATATCGATCTGTACTTCCAAAGAGCCTTAAGGAGTAACTACTACTTCTTTCAACAAAAGTAATGCTGTACCTGAAGAAGCAAAATGATTTCATTAAAACTCAGACAAGTTAAATAATACTATTTTCTTAAAGGAAATTGATAACATATCTCTTAATACAGTTTTTTAACTTACAAAGTCTTGCTCTTTCTCAAATGCTCAGTTCACTTTAAGACACACTTGAACACTACATATCACTGTAGCAGTAATTTAGTGAAATTAAATTATATTGTTACAACTTAAAAAATTGGCCAATTCCATTCTGGTTGGTATGTGTGTGAATCTCTAATACTAATTTATCAGCTTCAACAGAAAAAACTATATTCTTGTCTCTTAAAATGCTAATAGTGTAATTGCAGAAATGTATCAGATAGCCAAGTTGATATCTAATACATGATAAAGTAGAAAAACATACATGTCCTGAAAATCTGAAAATAAATAGTTGACACGATTAAACAGTAATATAATAGATTAATATTTTCACTCACTTGGATTCAAAAAGCTGAAGAATATCTGGCATATTAAGAAGACCTTCAGTTGTCAGAAATACATATGGAATCTGTACTTCCAGAAGAAAGGAACCACCATGATTCCCTGAAACATTTTTTACATGTATGAGTTTAATAAACAAAAAACTAAGCATACATCAAATGGACATTTAAAAATGCAGCTTTTATTCACCTCCAGTAAAATTCTTCCACTCTATACTTTTTTCCCCAAAATGAAACTCCTTTGAGTCTCTTTGAAATTATGCTTTAATTTAGATTTTTTTAGAACTACAACATTCCCTTAGGATGAGAAAGGGTGGATACAGCTTGCAGAAGCTGTAAACAACTTATGAACTTGGCACAAGTCTTTTATAAACCCACATGTACTACTACATCCTGGCCAAAACTAAGCTTACACTAAAATAAAAACACCTTCTTTCTGCATAGATAACCCAGGTCTGTTTGTCGAGCTTTAGCCTTCATAATGTATTACTCATTCTCTTCCACAGGCATATGAATGTAGCATTTCATGAAACAGAAAATATTTTCTTTTCGTGTCAGTCTAATTGTTTATTACAATTCTGGAGAGCACTTACCCATTTTTGGGGTTGTTTTGGGGAGGTTGGTTTTAAAAGTCATGTAAGTAACATTCAGATTTTTGCACAGATTTTTCCAGGCAGAATTTTCAGAATAATCATATTCCATTACTAATGAGAAGTGTGTCCAAGGGAAGTCAGCTCCAATTTGCTGATTATGTACAATAACGCAGGAATATCTACTAAGACTTAAAAAAACCCAACAAAATCTGAATAAAAATAAGTGCAGGTAGAATTACTCTCAGAACAAAATAAACTCAGTTTTACTTTGAAGAATTCTAACTGCTTAAAGTCCGTTTACAAAAATATATTTACCTTTCTAAAGTTCCAACTCATTCAAAAATTAATTCAAAATCAAAAGTTGTACTCTTTCTCCTACAATTTTCTCTCTTTAAATATCATATTTTCTAGAAATGTCATAATTTGTCTTTTCTTCTTTTATCCCCTTTCACCACCTTTTTTTAAAACATGCAAAAATCATGTTTTTCTACATATTTATCTAAAAAAGTTTTTCTTAGCAGGCAAAACAACATAAAGAATGTGCAATTGCTTGTTCCCTAAAGTTCCTCTAAGCCTCATTAAGCATTCTTCTAGAGTGGACAAAGTTCTCAAGTCTAAAAATGAAGCTGTAGGTTCATATTATGAAAACTTTACTCCAGAATGGAAAGTATCCATGGAAATGAGTTAAAGCAACTGAAGTTTCAATGACCTTAGTCCCGACTAAAGAATTTGTTCTCAGGAATCAAGAAATTAACTTACTTGCTTATGATCTCTTTACAACTTAAAGGGCTTCCTTTTTTCTCAGAATTCAAATCTACAGCTTTCAAACCTGCTTAAAAAAAATTAAACAGTTGATGAAATAAATGAGCCTCCATGACTATGAATCAATGCACAACAGTAAGTAGCAAATGTGGAGCAACACAGGCTATTAAAATTTCAAATATTACATATTCTGTCTTGCTGAAGTCCTACACAATTTCTATTATACTGCTGGATGCAATGATATAGAAACTTCCTTCTCAGAGCCCAAGGAAAATGTAAATAAGTTTAATGTCTCCCAAATTCACAACCCTATTAGCTTAAAATGAAAATTAGATGGTAATACAAAAGGAAGCACATTTGCCCCTTCATAAGTTAAATTTCTTTACACTTTTTATACATTTAGAATTTTAACTGGAAGATGTATCTAAGAAGGAATATTGGTACTACACAAGTGCCTCTTTTCAAAAATGTAGTTGGATTCAGCTGTATTTGCAACCAAGTCATGAGATCTTAAAACAAATAAAAGTCTTTTCATTAAATATTATTATTAGTAAAAAGCACTCCTCCTCCCTTTCAAAACACTCTAAAAGACAGGCTTTCTGCTTGTAAGAGCACAGGAAATCCAACTTTATTTTTAAAGGCAAAAGAACAGTACAATACACGACACTTCATAAGGTTCAAGCAAGTAGGATTTATGAAAGTGGATTAAAAAAACAATATAAAAGGAATCAGTGACTTGTTCTAAACATAACTATAGGCTCAAATTATAATTTTCCTGAAACATGTTTGTTTTACCAGCTGAAATTGCAGTGTTCAACAAGCTTGTACTTGTGAAATTACAGGTAAAATGCTGAAAAGATGAAAGTGCTGCTTGTATCAGTGGGGAGGTGGGATATTGGAAACAGTGTATTTTTGCCTTGAGTTTTATAGATTGATACATCTTATGCTGACATATTTAACAAATTAGCAAACAATATCAGCAACATAAAGCTAAAGGCAAATATGATCTGTACCTGACTACTCATTCAAGGCTTTATGCTGGGGAGTTTAGTCAACACTTAAAATCTAACTGCTCTGAATACACTTGCAAAGAAGAATGCTTGTGACCAATGATCAGCTAAAAATAGTGAGACAATCTGATCAAGATAACAGATGCAAATATAATTAGGCAATGGGCTGTCCACAGCTCCTTCATGTTCTGTTAAAAGAATCTTTGACTCAACAGATAAATTATCACTCTTGCAATAGGAAACATTAAACCAGAACTCTTAAATGGGAGAAAATAAAATTAAAATATAAAAGGCTGATGGAAATTAAACAGTGAGAAGAGTACATAGAAAGGCTCCTAATGGGAAGGGAGAAGCACCTGCACAAACAGGAATGCAGCAGTCTACAGAATAACAGCCACTTTTTATTTCAAAAATACACACAAAACAATTATTTACCTTCTATCCTAGATAACGGGTGAATGAAGGCAGCTTTTTCTCTTTCAGAGTCCATCCTTGTAATGATTAGTATCTGTATGAAGACAAGTAAAATACACTCTAGAAACAGTAAAACTTTTTTCTTTCAGCCCACATACATCTTTCTTTCTCCTCTGCATAGAAAACACAAGATTAAATAAACAGATGGCCAAACCAGAAACTTTGGAGTTTTTCATTATGACAATCATAGGATATCTCAAGTTGGAAGGGACCCATAAGAACAGAGTCCAACTCTCTGCTTCTCACACGACTACCTAAAACTAAACCATATGACTATATCCAAGAACTTCGTGAACTTGGACAGTCTTGGAGCTTTAACCACTTAGGTAGGAGTCTGTTCCAGGAAGACCACCCTCTAAGTGAAGAATCTTTTGCCTAACACGCCTGAACTTCCTCTGACACTGCTTCATTCCAATTGCTTGTGTCCTACTACTAGTCACCAGAGAGAGGAGATTGGCACCTTCCCCTCTGCTGCTTTGCTTGAGGAAGTGTAGGCTGTGATGGGGTCACCCTTCAGCCTTCTCTTCCTCATGAGGGACAACAAAAGTGACTTCAGCTGCTCCTCCTCTTGCCCTTGAAGCCTTCTACCATCTTGGTCCCCATCCTCTGGACAGACAAAACAGGCAAGTTTGGTATCCTCTTTACATTGTGGCACCCAGACCTGCCCCCAGCACTGGAGCTGAGGCTGCCCCAGCTCAGAGCAGAGCAGGACAATCCCTCCCTTGCCTGGCTGTGATGCTGTGCCTGATGCTCCCCAGGACAGGGTTGGCCCTCCTGGCTGCCAGGGCGCTGCTGACTCAACTTGCCATTGACCCAGATTTCTAATCTCTTTCCACTGGGTTGCAGTCTCTTCTTTCCCAATTTGTATGTATAACCATGATTGCCCCATCCCAAATGGAGAATCTGACAGTATATTTTATAGAGCGAGTGAGTGAGTGCTCAGCTCTCTAGTTTAATTTTTCTGGAAGGCCTTTCTACCCTCAAGAGAGTCCACTGCTCCTCCTAATTTAATATCATCAGTAAAATCACTTAATGTACTTTTGATTCCTCTGTCCAGACAACTTATAAAAACATTTAAGAGCATTCTCTTTAAAAGTGAGCCTTGGAGAACACCACTGCTCACTGGCTACTGCCTCATGTAATTCCATTCACTGTAATTCTGAGCTCAACCCATCAGTCAATTGCTCACCCAACCCACTGTTATCAACTTGTCTAGCTCTGTGATAAACAATTCACACAGGATAGTTATTTCTCTGTGAGAGTCAGTATTAAGAGCTTCGCTAAAATTAAAAATCTCACTCACTGGCTTCCCTTGGTCAACTTGTCATAATTGGGAAATGAAAGAAATTAATTGATTAAGTAGCACGTTTCTCTTGTGAACCTGTGCTGGTCATGGCTAATGACTGTATTGTCTCTCAAGCATTTTTCAGCAATTCCCAGAATAAACTTTTCTATAATTTTAACAGGCACTGAAGTAGTACAGACAAGTCTGTAAATATCAGAGGCTTCCTTCTTTCCCTTCTTGAAAATTGAAACAACATTAAACATCTTCCAATCAGCTGGGATCTCTCCAGATTCAAGACTGTTGAAAAATAATGGAAAGACTTCCCACAATAATAATATTTTTGATCTCCTTCAGTACCCTGGGACGAACTCCACTAAGCTCTATATGTCTATGTACATCCAGATGGAGCAGCAGGTCCCAAACAAGTTCAGGACTGGCTGGGAGTTTAACATTATCCTCAAGTCATAGTCTTCTAACACTGAGCTCTGGGGATTGAAGACAGGCAAAAGAAGGCACAGAATGCCTGTCTCTGCTTCGTCCACCTATTTGTGAGGTGATCAACCTTGCTGAGCAACAGATCAGTGTTGTTTCTGATTCCTATTCTGCTCTTGACAGAATATTTTAAAAGGCCTTCTTTGTCATCCTTCACAGGGTTGGCCAGTTTGAACTTCAAATGAGCTTTGGCCACATAAATTTTCTCCCTACAGGAGTGAACAGCCTCTCTAAAGACCCCTCATGTAACCTGTTCCTAAGTGACTTCCAAAGTCCATATACACTCCTATTCCACCTAAATCCTACAAGATCCCTGCTCAGGCAGGCCAGGGTTCTGCCCTGCTTGCTTTGCTTTTGACTTGCTTGGAACTGCCTGCTCTTTTACTAAAAAAGAATGCTACTTAAAGACACTATCTAAAGATATTATACCACAGTATTACTATTGTAATAGAATAATGGACTAGACAGATCTGTCACATTAGAAACATTATTCTTATGGAGACAAAACTGAAGCTGAAGATACTTAGAATTCAGCCTGCAAGGTACTTGTGTATCAGAAGGATGCTACTGAACTATTTAGAAAGATTTTCCAATCTGTAGATGGAGTCACAAAAGTGTTTCTGCCAGACATCTGACATTCATTAAATATTGCTTAAGACAAATATGTTGAAAATTATTAGACTCTACCAAACAAGCACAGTATTAACAAGAATACCCACCAGAGACAGTGTTTACCTTGTCCATCATTTCAACTGATACAAACTAAACACATATTACACTAAATATATCAAGAAGGATATGCACCTACACAGTACCTCATATTTTCTGACAGGTTACTCTCTGAACTTTTATGCCATTGTATAGACACTTTTCATGGTGTATACAAGTTAAGAGTTTTAAGAAGGCACATAGCAGATTCTTAAGATTTACAGACGTAAGATAATCATATGTGTAAATATTAAAAGCATGTTAGATCTTATCAGAAAATAACTTCTGGTCAGACAGATAATCATAAGGCAGATTTCTATTTCCATAAGTAGGTGCACAGAAGAGCCACTCAAAAATTCACTGGCATCTTTATAAGCCGTTTTGGACAATTGTGTTTAAAAATGTAGACCTGCTTTTCTGCCCACAATTCAGCAGTGGACTCATTATATGTTCATGTGAGCTAGATGAAACTTTTAGTCATCTTCTCTCTAATCATGAGTACAAAAGATAATGCAACAGAGCAAAATTCCTTTTTTTTTTTTTTTTTTTTCCTAAAGCAGCAGTAACTTCTTCCTTACAAAGGAAATGTCTAATTACAATTTTGCATCAATAACAACTTTGGCTAATAAAAGGATAATGACACTATCATATTTAACATTATATTAGCCGATATTGATGTGATATGATAGAACAGTAAATAGTTTATTGAATACAACATTTGCTTCTTATTAAACTGGAATACTCCTTTTATCTAGTCTAGCTCATTAAAACCTGCCTCTAAATGTTAGGGAACAGTAAACAATTTGTGAATAAAATCATATCGAGCATTATATTGCATGCATAACTCTGCATGACTAAGTCAAGCAAGCAAGTTGAAACTCAGGAGTTATAGCTAAAAATTTTTAAAAATCATGGCTAGTGGAGTTCAGAAGAAAAGCCAAATTGTCACTGAGGTGACATCAAGATGACGTCAAGTTCTCATATGCCTCCTATTGCAACATAATCCTAGTCTCACAAAGCAAAATGTGTTGCTCTTAAGGAAGACAAAAAGGATGCAAAATCATCTTAGTGTGGCTGTTGAAGGACAGACAGCTAGACAATCACCACCATTTTATTTTTGTTGCTTCGTTTTAATTTTAAATTCTAGAAGGGTATATAAGTTGTAATATTGTTAGTCTCAGCAAAATTTAACCGAAAGACATTCAGAGTTCCCAGTGCAACTCTTAAACACAAGAACATTAAATGCCCAGGAAGCGAAGCATGGAAAGAAGCAAAAATAACCTTAAAGGTGTTTTTTGGCTGTGTTTAGGATCATAAATGTTATTCTAAACAGTTAGAACACTTTAAACATTATGCATTTAAATCTGTTTCCTAATGTGATCAGTATTCTGTAAATAACAAATATTCTGTGAAGGAAAGTGGTGTTTTGCGCTGTGTTGTATCACCCAAGATATTTACACATCCAGAAAACAGAATCTTTGGATAATTCGAATATCCTCCAAAACTCTCTTCCATGCCCAAGCTGTCATTCACAGATATTTGCTCCTTCTGTCATTCAAATGCCAGGCAGTTGGCCAGATGCACTGGCTAAAGCAGAGGTTATCTGTGATAACACCATCCACACACTCCTAGGCATATGTGTGCTCCAAGTCATGCCATATAAGCACACAATCATGACTTGTGCTATGATTGTCTCTGTGACAGATGACTGAGGCTTTCAAATAAAAGTTTATATTACACTTTTCAGTAATTTATGTAATACAATATACCTATCAGGAAAACAAAACCACCTGCAACAAGATAAAGCCCTGGTAATGCTAAAACTCTTCTGCATCTTATTTCACACGTGCAACAAGGGGAGCTTTGATCAAACAAAAACTTGTACTTCTGTGACAGAGTTCTTTGAATTTATGTTAGCCTTATCTAATAGCTGCCATGAGGCATCTATTTTTTTCTCATGAACGAACCCTTGTTAAAACATAGCTTTGCAACTATTCATGTAATCTGGAACAATTTTGTTTTTTAACATAACTTGGTTACATTGTTTGTTAACCTTAACACTGTGTTTCTCTCCGTAACTTTTCATCCAATTTAACATTTCACACTGAAGCGCTGTTATTTTGGGATGTGTTTCATGCTTTTTCTGGCTGCTGTACTGTATAATCTTCAACTGCCTCCAGATATTATTCAAACAGGATTCTAAAATGTTTTTATAGATATCCTTTGCCTTGGACAAATAACCTGTTAATAAAGCAACAAAAAAAGTAAATGAAGTGACAAAAGATAATTGTCAAGCATTGTGTTCAATCTGCATATCAATTTAAAATCTATGTGAAAGTATCTTGCACAAAAACAGATGAAATTTTAATGGCTCCCCAATATGGAAAGAGAATGTGACCACTAATTGGGTACATAAATGGTGTTTACAAAATTGCTGTACTTTATGTAATATCTGCTATACAACTCCAGATAGAATTATACATGATTGCATCCTAAAACTGCAGATGCTAGCAGCAACACTCATATTTAACTAATGTGTATTGTTTATACTAAGTAACAACAGTATTTCTATCTCTGTTGTCTAAAGCTTGTTTGTCCATTGTGTTTACCACTCGCCACCATATCACAACTATTCTCAACTTTGAATGATGCCTTCTATATATGAATGGTGAACAATGCTGGGGTTATCTGAAAATGCATAAAGAAAAAATACATTCAGTATAACTGCATGATGAATCATGCAGCACAACAACATAAGAGTGATGACTACAAGGCCTACTTAGTATCTCACTCAATTTTCTAAATTTTTTTTCAGATCCTTTTTACTTGTACAATTTCCTGTGTGAGGTGTTGCTCAGGTTTGGAAACACAGGTACTTTTGTAATTCTGAAATATCATCTAGGAGTGCTTCTGCAGCAATAAACAGTAGAGGAAGAACTGCTCATTTTTCTTCCTTCCGTCTTTCTACATTGTTTATAGTAATGACAGAAGAGAATTGTACTTAGGATTCTACTAATATATTCATTCTGTATTCATTTTCCTACTCTTTTTTTGCTAGAAGCATTTAAGAAAATATAGAATTTTTCCCTCTACAGTTCAGTTTATGGCAGTTGTTTTACATTTTAAATCAAGTATAAGGTAATACCATCCATTAAGGGATAGTTTAGACTGAAGGTAGATGCTCTGAAGCAACTTTATCTCCTGTAAAGACAGAGGGAGTGTAACTTTCCTAGGGCATTCATAAACACTGACTTCAACTTCTTACAGATCTATCCTGACAGAGGTATCTGAAAATTCAAAATACACAACAATTTGACAAGCTTAGGCATTATCATTTCAGGCATTAAACTGGGTTATAGTGGACTATTATATTCCAAATTTGACTAAGACTAGAAAAGCTAAAAAAAGAAGCTTCTACATTAGTTCAGTGTTGTCAGTCCAAACTTCTTTCCTCATGACACATTAGATAACATTTAAAATTTTGCTTAAAATGCTCTCAGATTTAAATAGCTTACTTTCATGGAACCTTACAATATTTTATATGGAAAGTGTTCCACGCTCACAAAAGATAGATGGTAAATAGAAAATGACATTTTTGCATGTTCTTCAGTTTCCACTCAGAGATTCAAATGAAAATTTGTCATTCTGAGATATAAAACATATTGCATATGTGGAAGTTCTTAACAAACCCATGGAATAACATAATCAGAGATCTATTAGTCACGAACTGTGCATATACCCCAATGGCAAAGAGTCACAGCTACAAATATAAGAGACGGTCTGCAGAACACACACAATGCTTTGGGTTTCTGGATATCATTATTCAGTACTGAAAACAAACCTAGAGCTGTATCCAAGCCACATGTTAGTAGCAGATCTCGAACTGTCACCAGCAGGTGTACCAGAGCAGCGTGTCTGAACAACATGATCTCCTTCTCATCTATTTTACCTTCACAAATAGAAGACAGAGGTGTGGTCTACATAAAATCTCACAACTCACATTATATATACACACGTATATGTAGTCAGCTTAAAAGATCCTGGTACCTAAGCATTTTCATTAAACACACTTAAATATGATGACCTACAAAGGTGAACCTTCAGATCTGGTGGTCTTGCCAATTAGCTTATGATATAGCATAACATTTCCCAGGTCATCTGACTCAGAGTAAGTGGCACACAGGCCAGTGTTTTTGAAAGGTGTGTACAGATAGATGGTGCTTGCTGGAGGAGGTAATAGGTCCCCCAGCTATTTCATGAAAACCACATTGCTTACTGATTTTAATGCAGCAATATCTGCCTCATTATGAGAATCTTCACCTTCAAGAAGGCAAACTTGAATGACATTTGCTTCTTCTTAGCCCCAAACACATCAAACAAATTTATGGGCTTTTTATTCTGTATTGTGCATCCATTTTGAATATATATTATAGGACTTGATTTAACAGGAAGAAATTTTTGGGAATTGCACACAGGTAATGGTGCAGTTCATTATCATAAACCAGAAATTTTTGAAAACTCAACTACAGAGTAAGTGTGCTTAATAATAAAACACATACTTCAAGATGCTAAAAAAAGGTTGAGGAAGATAATTAAAGAATAAATTACTATAGCTGAAGGTGCATTTTAGGATGAAAATAGTAGCTAGTTCTGTGTACTGGGATTAACATAACTTCTAATTCAAAAAGACAAGCAAGGCATTTGGGAAGGAAAAATCGACTTAAGGAGACAGCATACAGGATTTAGCTGGAAACTGTATGAAAGGCAAAGATCTTGCAACTATTCTTCAATAAAAGACAGAAAGTTAATGTTCAGCTTTGTTAGTGAAGGACTACAATCCAGCTCTTTTCACCAATCACCATAAAAACTCAGTGAGGAATACAGGTCATTCAGAAACAAAGTAACACAGTAAGAAACCATTTTATGATGAAAGACTGGAGCACTTAGCGATATTTGATGCATAAAAGACCAGCATGGGAATAGTAATCTGCTAATAGATCACTGCCATCACAGTAAGTGATTGTTTGCTATGTTCACTCAGGGATCAAGGAGCAAATACATCAGTATACTCTGGAATAAAGTGGAATAAGCCTGGATATCGTGAAACTATTTAAACCAGGAAGAGAATAAAAGCAATATGTTACCAGTGAGATTTTTGTCAGAGATAGAGAAATATTCGTTAGGAATGACTTGGATATTTTCTCTCGTTTCTGTGGGCCTTCCAGCAAGAAAGTTCTTATGTCCTTCTGCTGCTTTATTTGGGGAGAAATGCAATTTCTATAGCATGTTAACTGCATCTGAGAAGATGTAAGTTTTCTTAAATTGATCTTGAATTGAAATGCAGACTCTTACATATTTTTTCCTTGCTTCAGAGAAGCAGTAGTGATTCTCTGTTTACTTTTCTCACTGAAGTTTTCCTTTCTGTGATTCACTGATACAGATACCATGTTTGTCCCTCGTGTTTGTGGAGATGGTGTTTGCTTTTTAGTAAGCTCCTTCACATTAAGAGAACACTGCAGCTGACAATTTTAATACGGTAATTCTATAGATCATAGGCTGTCATTCTGCAGGCCAACTACAGGGTTTTTTTTGTTTGCCTTCTTTCTCATTTGTGGTCTCATGGTCATTAATGTCTTATTTGAGAAAAATACATTCAGCAAAGAAAGTAATGAAATCAAGACATCAAGGGTTTATAGTATAATTTATGACATAATGTAGAAACTTGGCAGGTAGTAGACAGCCTACTATGTTATCCTTATAACTAGTTCTCAACAATGGGCTGTACAGTGAAAGAATAACACAAAATACAAATTTCCTGAATCTTTCTCTACAGTCAAAAATCTTTGTAAGGGGTCACTAACTTCGATGACTTTTCTTCTCATTTTTCTGGTTTTATAGGGCTTACACATACCACATAGGAGAGAAATGAAGTCAGAAAGAAACCAAATTACTATGGATTTTTTCCCTCCTCATTTCTAACATGGGGATAGTACTTGGCATCATGCAGGTATGACAAAATATAGCTACTGAAAGAAAAGTAACAACAAAACCACACAAACACATTTTAATTTTAAAATCTAGCATGAAAAAATTAAACATTGCTTGCTATAGAAACAACATTTCTGAAGCATATGTAAAATCTTTTAAATTGAAATCCAGTTAGAATATTTTTGTATTGCAATATCGAGGTTAATAAATGTAATGTTGAACAATGAGGAGACATTTTTGAAATAAAAGAGGAAATCAGTTGTTGTAACTCAATAAAATAAACTGTCAAAAGACTTATTATTTTTATTTATAAAACAGCTTGAACCTTGTGTCACCAATTAAATATGTATGAGTTACAAAGAAGAACAGATGTTTTTTAAAGGACATACCTTGTTTAAAATTGTCACATATCACTTTCTCTTGCTGTTTTAAAAAAAACCTTGTGTGATCAAATTTAACACTGTCAAAGCTCCAAGTAACAGAAGCAAGTACACCCAGATGTGTCAAATCTTTTAGTACAGGAACAGCTGCTTCTTCCAAGAAGCAGTATGCCTGGCACTGGCTTTCTGGATAACACAATGAACAAAACATAATAATAATGAAGTTTGGTTTCACATACCACTACTGGACACAAATATTCAAAAGACCTAGCAAAACAACTTTATCTTGTTCATGAAAGCTGCAACATTAATAGAAGAAAGTTACTTGTCACAGAGCCTCCTGAGGGGTAGCAATCATCTGATCCTCCCAGCAGGTAACCACATTGTTCCACGCGTTTCATAACATGATCAAATTCCATGATAAGAAGTTAGGATTTTCTATTCCTGTGACTCACACTAAGATTGTTCTACTATTCAATTGTTCTACAGCAGCCTGCTTCTACATCATAGTCATTTTCAAAATACTAATTTTTGTTTTGACTGCAGAAATGCTTTAGTTTTTCTTCCCAATTGCATTAAAGGAATTTTACTTCAAAATTTATTAGAAAAAAAAATTAAAAATAAGCTTAAAGCTATGATTCCCATCTCCAATGGGAACAGATGAAAAGACTACTCCACTCTTCCACTGGTTCTGTAAAAGAAAATGATATTAAGCATATGGCTGGAACGAATGCATTTCCACAGGAAACCAGACTAATCTGTGCTGGGCCTACAACTTCCTAGGGCTGGGTATTTTTAATTTGAGGCTGCATAATAGCTTGGATAAATATTTTCTAGGTTCTCCTCTACCATTTCTACTGCATGAGAAAATTATGTTCTTTGATACAATGCCTCGTACAAGAGGCAGAGTTCAAGAGGTAAGGCCCAGCCATGTATGAGACATATCCGTAGGTGATTTCTACTGCGTTAAAGACCTTTCCTATCAAAATTACTCCTGATTTCTTCCATCTCTATTTCTTATTTACTCAGACAAAAATGTGCAGAATAATAAATGGAAGGTAGTGATTGGCATTGATTTCATGTCTGCTAATTTTGATCAGACATAATTCAAAGTCTGAATTATTCTTTTCATCTTGCATGCAATTGGCTCTAGTCTTAAGATGGAGCTCCACAGCCTGCTCTCACCTCTGTGCCAAAATAAAGATCCTTCCACTTGCAATACTTTCAGCCACAAAGAGAAGAGACTAAGTCTTATAATTTCTATATTTGTCTGAGCAATACTATTTAATATAAAATTCTATTGCAAATCTATATAGAGTCATAGAATAACTAAGATCATTGAATTCAACTGTTAACCCAGCACCACCATGTTCACCACTAAACTATGTCCCCAAGTGCCATATGCTCAGGTTTTTTTTAACACTTCCAGGGATGATGAGTTTACCACTACCTTGGGAAGCCAGTTCCAATGCCTGACCACCCTTCCAATTAAGAAGTTTTTCTCAATATCATATTGAAACCTCAGCTAGTGCAGCTTGATGCCTTTTCCTCTGGTCCTGTCACTTGTTACCTGGGAAAAGGTAAAGCAGTTCCAAGAATAGTGTATACCTGATGATTGAATATTGACAGTGATACTGCCTTCATTTTCTTGAGCTTTTTCCTCCGTTTTAACAGTCTCACAAAAAGAATCATCCTCTTTCTGAACACGCATATGCTGTTCTTCAGGCTGTACCACTAAATAATGCAACGACAAGTAAATATTTAGATATAAATATCGAAAAACTCAATTAATAAGAAAACTGTTCTATAAATTACTCTATATGCAAAAATACTTCCAAATTAAGTTGCTTCTGTGACACATACATTTTCTCATCATAAATTCCTTGTTGTTTTCACGGGCTTATACACTACAAAAATCCACAAGACACAAAAACAGATTAGGCCCTGTCTGCCTTCACAGCCCAAGAAGTCAGGCATTACCAGATTGTTCTTCCTAAGGGCAGAAATAAAAAGCTGGAAAGCTTAAGGAGCTGGTACTACAGTTCAATAATATAGATCCATAGGAAACCTCATATGCCTTTATATGGAGAAAAAACAGGCATGACAGAAAAGATGCTGCTGACCATAAGGAGCTCAAACTATGAAAAATACATCAGTGAGTGTAAGTAGAAAAGGTTAGATACTTTAAGCCATGCAGAAAGAACATAGCAGTTACAAATGGAAAACCAAAAAGAGAGAAGAAGAATTGCATATTGAAAATAGTTTTTCTCCTGTCTTCTAGTTAACTTTTGCAACTTGTTAATATTTCTAAGTGGTCTTCCCTTCTTCCTGATACATACTGATATATGAGATACAACTTCTGGCCACAAAGCTTCTTTTATATCTTTATTTCTGATTATTTTTCGGTGAGGGGGGTTCCTATTGAATAAGAATATTCTTCTAAATATTATTGATTTCTCTACTTAAGAATGCCACTTTCCTCAGAAAACAAAGTAATAATACAGAGACAGAAGGAAAAGAAAAACTGAATTTTTATTCTAGTTAACCTAGATAACTTGCCTTATTTTGAAAAGATATCTGGGGTTCAAAACTGGATCATTGAATTGTTTCTATTACTTCCCTCCTGTGTATTTTCTAAACACTACACATAATGAAATCTTTAAAAACATAAGTCAAACAACGAAGAGACCTACAAGCACTGCTGGCCTTTCTAATTTTCAGTTAGAGTTAGAATGACTCTTGATAAAAACTTTTCTTTATTGAGAAAGGATTAATATCATTTCTACATCGATGTGCCTTATCACAGACCCCCTATTTTAATGGGTTCTCTATATATGACGCATAACTGATCTGCAACACTGGGGTCTACCTGTGCACATATCCCAATCTGCATTGAATCTTCTTAAACCTCCCCAAGTCTATTTGTGAATGCGACGGCGCGTCCTTCAATACACTAGAATTCCTTGCCAGGCGATGCAGTTCTGGTCAAGGTTCACTAGATGGCAGCAAAAAACCCCAGGTATCTCGAGCTCCTACTTCATAAATTTGGATTATTGCCTTCTGACGCCATGAAAAGTTGTATGCATCTCCGATAGTGTCATAAACGCACGAATTTTATCAAGAAATAATTAATTCCACGAGATTATGTAAGCTCGCAATTAAACAAATACCCCAACTCTACAGGAATTATTGGTGAAAGGGTTTTTTGGTTTTGTTTTTTTTTTTTTTTTTNTTGCTTTGTTTTGGTTTGTTTGCTTGTTTGTTTGTTTTTGTTTGTGTTTTTTTTTTTTTTTTTAATGCTGGGACATTTAACTAAAACACAGATAAATTTTTCCTCAAAATTCTGCCATAGAAGTCCAAAAATTTTTTTAATTTTTTTTTTTTTTACATATAATTCTATCCTGAAAAGTGAATTTGGAGGTATGCCACTGTCACCTGCTACTTTATGCCACAGATACTTCTTTTTAAAAACAAATAAGTAAATTCTTCTATTTTTTTTTCCTCTTTGCTATTTTGCAAACCTTCAATGTTGATCACATAGCCTGATATTCTTTCCCAAGTACTGCCATCAACAAGAACAAGCCTACCAACAATTTTCTACTTTTCCTAACACTTGAATGTTTCCCTAATGGTGCATTGCTTGATGATTTGATGGGGTTTGCACCAAGGTAACTGGCTCAAATGAACAACTCTTGTTCATTTTCCAGGGTACAGAAGTGAGAGTACTGATGTTCTCTATTTGATAACTACAATGAATTTGAGGATTACTACTTCTCCAAAGTGGCCAGGAGATCCAATCCAAATCATACAGATGGAAGAGATCTCCTGAAGTAAATATCATTTAGAGTTACTTTGTCAGAATAGGAATAAACTCAAGTGCTTATTTTATGAAATACCACTTCCAACCCAAAAAAAACCCCATCCTGTCCCAAAAAACCAAAAAGCACTCCCCTCTCTCCATCCCAAGTAAACCAACCAACCAAAATCCTCTAATACATCTTAAGGAAAACAACAAATGGTAAGATACTTAGCTAAAAATTCAGCTACATTTAAGATCTTAAAAATTTTTCCAATTTACTTCAAGTCATTGAGTAGGATGAACTAGCATCTAACTATAACTGGTGAAATAGAGAAGAATTAAATCTGGAAAAATGGGAGAATAAACTGGTTCACATACCTTTTTCAGGTCTATCTATACAATATTTTTCTTCTCTTTGGATGACTGTATGTCTAGATCTCATCATGATAAAGTTGTTCAGATCAGAATCATCATTGGCACATTTAGAAGCAAGTGATGCAGGCTTTCCACTACAGGATGAGTTGTCTAGTTTAGAAGACACACGTTTACAGCTGTCTGATTCAGATGGTTTGGGGGTTTCCTTTTCTTGGTTTAAGAATTGAATTGCCTCTTCTGTCTTAATCTTTCTTAAGCTTCCTCCAGTAAGCTCTTCCACAGATGTGTTTGTACTGTGAATTTTGGCAGATGGCGCAGTACTCATGTCAAAGTACTGCCTTTGAATCTGCAGTGACAAGTTAGGATTAACTACTTTCTCTGACTGATGTCTTTCAGCAGAAAGCAGCTCTTGGTTTGTCACAGAATTCTTCTCTTCAAGCCATCCTGAAAAACACAATTTAATTTCTTTGCTGTGACACAGATTTTTCTCTTTTCTCTCTCCTCACTGGAGTTAAGGACTTCAGATGGTTTGTAGAGAAGGCATTCTTAAAAACTTCTTTCTGCCTTCTCAGATCACTAGGATCCCTTTTCAGAAAACTTGCACTGACTAGTCCTAAGTAAAAATGCACAACATTAAGACACAGAAGGTCATGCTATTGTTAGAAGTTTTCATTATCTACATGGGGTTTATTGATGTTAGATTTCTAGGAAGTGGAATGCAACATATTTCATTAGGAAGAAAAATTGACTTTTTTTGTTTTTCAGAAGGAAAAATGAAGAATTCAAACAGTTCCCTCTGAAGATATGCTTCACTAGAAGCAAAAACTACAACTTTTTTGCATTGTGGCAGCACATCCATCTGAAACACAGCAGCTAAACAATTAAAGAAATGTAAAAAGCAGTCAATGGGAAATGTTCTTGCATTAGCAGTGAGAACACAATATATCATGTTACTGTCAATCTGGAGTTCTACAATCACAACTGGTGCCTTGCAGTCTGGCCATATTTATACAACAAAATCTGAATAACTTTTTGCATTTTTTGTTGAAGTTTGATTATAAGTATGCAAAAACATTCATGAGAGATTCTGAAGTGATGAGCTCCTCAAATTTTAATAGTCTGGATAAAAAAACCTCTCTACATCATGAAATAAGGAATTTTCACTGTAACATACTCCCCCTATTGACCTATGTGAATATCTGCTTTATTAAAATATTCCAAAGCAAAACTACCACTTCTTAAGAAATTCTTCTGCATGAAACTAATTTATTTTAAAATGACTAGTGGAGGCTATTGTTCATCTGCACAGTAATAGAAAAGATGAGTTTGTGTAGTTCAATACCTTTGTTCCTTCAATTTGTTCTAAGTTAGGGAAAGTACAACTCAATTGCAGTAGTGCCCTTCCTTCATTTTAATGTACAATATTTTTTCTTAAGAATAAGAAATAAACAATTTCCTTTGTTCTTTGATTTAGGTAACTCCCTGTGTGATTCTCTGTTAAAGTACCTATCTTTGCCTTTTTATCACTTTAAAAAAAAGGAAGGTACTTACTTTCTAATTGATATGATGTAAATTGTGTGAATGTTTCTACTTCTGCAGGAAGCAGACTGTTTGGATTACTTCCATCCATATTAAATTGTTCCAAAATTTCTGCTGGGTTTAAACCGCTATGAAGCCACCAGACCTCCTCTACTGAGCCGAGCATTGGTGCTTCGACCTCAACTGGCAGCTCTTTCTGCAGTTCTGTCAGTGAAATATGCTGATGTGCAAGGTTAGCAACTGGATGTTCTACAAAAGAACCAGAAAATAATTAATACAATATCAATAACCTAGAAAGATGAAAACACAATGTTGTTTTGGAAATTAAAGCTCCCAAGAACTGCTGGCCTATTACAAACAACCTATTATTCATACTTCCATTTCTAACTCTATGTCCATCAATAGATTTAACAGCAAAGCAGTTAACATTATCAGAGCAAGTGTGCTTTTCTGTGAGTAAGAGAGGTGAGAGTTCCAATTTTTTTTCAGATCTAATAGCTGCATTACTAAAGTTACAAATTATCTTGTTAATCATCTGTGGGTTATTGTCATGGTTACAAAGACTTATCATAATCCTTACCTGAAAAAAAATTAACTGAAATAGTAATGAGCATACCATACATTATTTTCAACTATAAATCAATGTACAAACGGATTGGACAACAAAACAAGTCAATATACATAAATTAATCCAGAGACTTGTAAAATACAGGCAAACAAAGCGAAATGAAAGAATAGTGGTAATACATATTCTTTCATGAATAGCTTGTAGCTTGTTTTGGTTTGGGGTATTCTGCTTCTCTTCTGCTCTTGTGAAGTTACATTATTTTCCGTTAACGGCACTATTGTATTGATGGCTACACATTTTGAAACATTATTTAAAGGAAAATAGCATATAGGAAGGAGTTCAACAGATCACCAAATTTCAGTTGTTAGTTATTGTATATAATAGCAGTGAACACAGTCATAAAAAAGTAACACTCTTACTTAATTCAAATTACCTCCGTGGAAGGATATAAGGCATACCAACTTCTATGTTGCTGTACTGTAACTTTTTATATGTACTAAAATAATCGCATAGTTCAAGCTTCACAGGGTTACAGTAATTGGATAAACTTCAAGGACTCAATTATGTGTTCTCTAATATAACATTATCTTTTATACTATATTTCTCCACGTAAATGGAACTTGTAAATATCAGTTAGAAAGAGATCATCAATCAGAAATCCTTACCGACAAGCAAAAGAGAGCTCATATTATCCCGATACTTCTCTGATTGCCATACCAAAGATTCTAAGAATTCCCTAGCAGGCTCTGCAATTAAAATACTATGAAGAACATAAAAATTTGCTGGTATGAAGTTTAGCAGCATTATCTGTTGAATTTTGATTTATATAAAACAATCTTTTAAAGATAGACTTTGTCTTTAAATTTTCAATTCATTCATCCATTCATTCGTTCATTAAATTTCTTTTCCTATTCATACAGAGGACTATAGGAAAGAGTGAGAGCAGGAGTCATCAAGGCTGGGTCCTGAGGGAAAGCAGCACTGAATGAGAATTCTGTCTAGATCATGGCTCCCACCCCAAAGGGATACTGAAATTCTTCCTGCATAAGTTAGAAAGAGAGCAAGGTAAGAAATTCTAGTTTCAAATAAGATGAGAAAGAAAAGATGGAGCAATCCTAATCCTATGTTGGCATGAAAAGGCCTAAAATCTATTGCTGGATGACATCCCCAAAACAGAAAGTACTTTCTTACTATATCTCTTCTGGACATTTTGCATGTGATCCTTGTGCAATATATGTGTTTGCCATAGGTATAAAAACACGCATATGCCCATACACATACTTGCTAAATTCTTTAAATATTTATTTTTGCCTACTGCAAAAAGGCGACTGGATTTTCAGTCTATTACATTCCCCAGAGAAAGAGGTCCAGGGAAGCGACTTCCTTTCCTTTCCAGGCTCCTCTAGAAAACCACACATGGACTGTGCATTCTGTCACTCTTTCACACAGAACTCAATATATATGCAGCTCAAAGAATGTAAGTACAAATTCATAAATACACTGAAGTTATTTTTTTCAATAATTTTGAGGATTTATGACAGAATTTGTCACTACTAAGGTTTCATTACCTGTTACCAGAGAGAGAAATAGGTTCTTCTTGAAGTCCTCTGCACAGAAAATTAACCCATGACATTTCTTGTCTGCATGGAGGAGTTAAAGGCACTTCCATTTCATCTTTCAAATATGGGATATATTCAGCTGGAAATTGCATAAAGCCCCAGCCAAAACAAAAATAAAAATCAAAATCACAAAGCTACTTGTGAATGAGATACACATACTTATGAATCTTACACTAGTGAAGATCTGGATTAAAATAGAAAATATTTTCATGGGACAATTTAATAAGCTATACAGCCTAAATACATCACATCTAATTTCCAGACAGTTCAGGGAAAAAATTATAGATCACATTCCTTTGATGTAGTTCTGGGTACATATGCTTCACATATAAGATTACTTTTAGAATTAAATCATCAGGCATCACGGTTGAGATTTTGATATTCATGCCTGTTGGCATTCTTAGATAGTTCCTCCATCAATGAAGTCACTTAAGTGGGAGAGAGACTACAGGCAATATTGTGGTGGCTGTAAGAATGGCCTCAGGAACTTCAAGAAGCATTGAAGATTTTAATGAAAAAAATTACTCTTTCAAGCAGAATTAGTACTCATTGAAATTTCTAGGGATGATCACTGAAATTAGTAACAACACCAGGTTTGTTTTTTTTTAAGTAGTATTCAAATAAACCTGGCATGTTAAAAGTCCTCTACAAGTCACTTTAAACATTCTCTTTTTTTTCCTCCCAATCATATTAAATGTGGACATATTAATCATTAGTGGGTTTTATTCAAGTCTCATTACAAATTTGCAATTTCATTGATTTTGGTGGTTCACATGTTTACCCTGGTATTAATCTCTCTGGCATTCTATTAACCAGAAAGTAGAAATCACAAAAACTACATTGTTCAATGTTCTGTGACAATGAAAGCAGAAAAATTACGAATAAATCAGTGCCTCCACAAAGAAAAGCACTTATAATGAATTCTCCATTCATTCACAGGCAATAAGTAGATGCAATCATCATGCCCACACTGCCTGGCCAATTGGCACAAAGCAGGCTATGAATCAGTCACCTGCCCAGCTGCTCACAGCTTCTCCTTGAAGGACCTAACTAGCCGATTGTTAGGCAGGAAGGGTAAGGGACACTGATAGAAAGCCAGAGGACACAAACATATCAGCAAAGCAGGGAAAAAAAAGTTAAGAAATAATAGTGGGTACAAAACAAAGCAACATACTTCCCGTCAGAATAACGTCTTTCCCACTTACTTAGAACAAAATAGGTTCAATGAACTTATGCTGTGAACTTCAGCTCACAAACTGGTTTTTGTGAGGAGCAGCAATCTTAAGACTTTACTTTGAACAGCACAGAAGCTGATCTCAGGACAGCAAAAATACCTGCCATATCTAAAAATAACTATTCTTTCTCTCTGAGCAATACTATTCATATTTGTTCTTGTCTAGTTATTTTTGCTTTGAGACTGGAATTTTTTATCGGCTACAGTAGTTAAACTCTGCCTACACTCAGAGTAACATTCCCCTTCTCAGAAAATTGCTGACTCAGAGAACTATCTTGTCTCTTAATGCTTTTTTTAAACAAACTCAGTGACCACAGAAAGACTGCTTAGCCTTATGACTGCTTCTTCTCTGAATTCAAGCAAACATATTTCACTTCTGGTAACTCATAAAGAGCAAAATTAATTAGAAGGAGAAGATTGTCAGGTATCTCAGCACAAACCTGACACCCAGTACAGAAACTTCTGCTATCAAAAGGTGTTCTAGAAGTGCCTGCACACATTTGGAGGTCTCTATCCTACAGATGTAAGTCTATCCTGGAAAAAGAAAACAAACCAAAAATAGAGAGAGAAAGAGAAAGATGGAAGCTGATTGTGCCTGATTCAACAGCAGAGCTAAGAGAGCAACTAGTAATAAAGATTAACACCACCACTTTCTTTAAAAGACAATTCAGGATGGCTTGACTGCTCATCTACTGCAGAGGAATGGACAATATCCTAGAGAATTTATTATTATTATTATTATTATTATTATTATTATTATTATTATTATTATTATTATTATTATTATATACAGGGAAAGAGTGGGATCTACTGCATTTAAGGCCCTCCTGCTTGTAAGCTTTAGAAGTAAAGAGCAGTCGTAGCGCTGACTAGACACAGATTACAGTTCATCATGCTAGACAATAATCTCCAGATGTAAAGTAAGCATAACTTTATCTGGATGTGTTTAACTTGGTGTGTTTCCATTGAGCTTTTATATCACACACTTCAAAATCATATGATTGTTCCAACCAAAATTCCACTACAATACAGTATCTGAAGCATGATTCTATTAGTACCATTAGCCTGCAGGGGACAACTATCAGCTCAGTTTAAAACTTGTTGAAACTAAGACAACAAGAAAGATCTTGGTCTGGAGAAAAATCTACATTTCTCAAGTATTTTAGTAACTTTTGGATGGAAAACATCAAGTGAACAAGCACTAACAGCTAATACTGCTACTGTCCAATGCAACAATGGATAGATCTTTTCATTAAGAGTATATACATTAGGATGAGACATATGTGTATAATCATGTACTGACACTGCTCAGATCACATTCATTTGTAAATGTTGCTCTTTGTGCAGGCTCTTCTGCATTAAATGAAAGGTGAAAAATGTCACCAGCACAGCCATTTTTCTGCCTTGCTAAGTCAGACAGAATTTAGCTGTGAATATAGTTGGGCTGGCAAAGACTGTACATTATCTTGAAAGGCTACAACTGGAACCCGAAAAACTTTAACAAAGGTTGGACGACCAGGTTGAGCAATGAGACACCAAAGCTGCTCAGCACTGGTCGATGGTGTGAACACCATGACTTGGGTTTTAAAGCTATTGAAGGCGGACACACAGAGTCCATTTCCTGATCCCAGTGTAGGAGAAGCAAGGATTCAATGCACATTAGCAGATACTCCACAGTTTGAGTTTATTTCTGTAGAAAACAGCTCTGGCTTAACTTCTCAATCACATGTAATTACTGAACCATTTGCAAAACAGAATGTCTGCATGGGAGTTTTGAATCTCTAGAATTTACCAACACAGCACTTCTAACTGAATTGTTCTCCACCACCCTCTTTTGAAAGAATTTATATCAGACTTTAACAAATGTTAAACTGTGTTCTTTGACTCCACAATTTTAATCAATATACCTTAACTTTTATGTGCCCTTTCTTGGTTGATGAGTTGCTAGATAAAAAAAAGATCTAAAAATTTAATAAAGTGCTAAAGTTATAGACATCACTTACTGCCAAAAGCAACATGAAGGATTTGTAAAGTTGCTTGTGTTTAGACTATAAAGCTCTAGAATGGAGTATGGCACTTCTACCTCCTTATGGTGCAGGTACAAAATAATAGACTACATGAAGTGAATCTTCTTACCTATGTGGTACACGTTTTCCCACAAACAGAATATTTGAAAAACTACTTGAAGAATTTCTTTTAAATGTAACCACTTGATTTGTACAAATCTTCCTACCTGACTCAGAGAATTCCAACATACTTGTGCTAATACTGGAGCAAACCTCTTGTGGAATGGCACAGTACTTGGAAATTTCTATTTTGCATGTAATTTCTGCTTTGAGATCTGAAAACAGATGTTAAAAGGTGCCATAAATTTATTTATTTATTAATCTTCCTGTCAGAGCTTTTAATCTTTCTACTGAACCTCCATGATCTATTGTTATGAAATATTAGTCATGCTTAGTAATCCCAGATGCTTTAGCTGATTAGAGCAGTGCTCAGTCTTTCCTTTAAGTGAGAGAAAAAAAATCCCCCATGATATTGTAGTCACTATCTGAATTACTCCAAGCTCTTATGACTACAACGATTCCCAGAACAACTAAGTAGCCTAAATACAGTTTGCTAGGAGTATGTGTATGTAGATTATTTTGCTACTAAAAAAGGACTCAAACAGAACAAAAAGACGCCCAATAGGTTGACATTTATGTATGGAATCCTCAAATTTCTGTAATCTCAGCTTGAAACATGGCACATACTAAATATATCAGGGGAATACACACAAAACTGTTTTTGTCAAATATTCACTTTGAAAAGTTTTGTTTCTATCTTCAGTAAAAGACTGGATTATTTCAAACTGCCCTATCAGACACAGAATTCAGCACACATCCTTCATGTCCAGAAACATTAAGCTTCCTTCTTTGAGCTACTTCCTGTCCACTAAAAAAGTGGAAAATTATTTATTTTGACTTTAAAAAAAAAACAAAAACCAACCCTCAGGCAATGCCTTTTTCTTTTAACTAAACAAAATACTGTCATACAAATGAATCCATTAGCCAATAACGTTATTAAAGTTATATTTATCGGAAGTCTAAAAGCATTTAGTAATTTTTCTAAAATTCCTTTAAAGAAATTGTTACTGTCATTGAGAGCAATCCTGTTATCCATGGAAATATTTAAACATTTTTCACACAGAAATGTGCTTTTTTGTTTGCAATTACAATGCAACAAAAGCATTTTTTATTGTATGACTGTTCTGCATATAATCCTCTTAGGGATGTCTCTGAAAGTAAACTTAAAAACATGCTAGAGAACACAAGACCAAATTATTATAGCTATGTTGATTATATATCACAAATCATGGCTCATATTACATTTGTGTTCAAGATTACAACACAACCCTGGACTAAATCAAGTGGTAAGTAGTTTACTATCCCTTAAGGAGACATTTCTAATACCAGAAATTTGGGTGTAACACAGTTCCTAGTCCACCCCAAAAATTCTCATCTGATAAGCTGTGAAGTAATTTTTAGGTGAACTTAATATAGAAGAGCTTGGTTATGTTAAATGTGTTCAAATGAAAGGAAAATCAGGTCAAGCACTAAAGAAAACAAACCCTCACCTTCTCTGATCACTTGTTTGCAAAGGTCTTCATCATCTATAGTGACTGGAGCTAAATTTAACACCTCCTCTAGTTGTAAGTATGATGGAATCTTAACACAATCAGATCTGCCATTGTTGGATTTGCCAAATTCCAACTCAGTAGGCAACAGGAAATACTGAAAAAGTATTAATCACAACAGAATGGTCAGTAAATTTCCTTTGATATTACGTACAGTCAAAGCTTCTTCAAAATGTTGAAATAATTTAATTCTAAACCAATCTAAGAGCTCTTAAGAGAGAAATCACTTGACATTTACATAGTACACACAAAGCTTTGCTCAATACAGGGTAAAATGCAATGTTACACAACTTCAGACTGAATCAGTGGAAAAAAAAGTAATAGAAGTGTGTCTTAACTTGCAATTCCCAACCAAGTGCAATCCTCATTTATTTTACTGAAAGTTTATTTTTTAGAATTTTGAAAAATGGAGCAAAAAATAAATTTGACTTCTTTAAAAAAAAAGCCAAGCTGGCCCCCCAAATCCCAGAACATGTCTTGTAGCTTTCCCTTTCCCACGCTCATGTCACGGCTTCCTGTTCTGATAAATTTTTATTCTTAGTGTAACAAGTATCTACATAAAACTGCAAACACATCAGGTACCAGAAGAAACAGCTAGTCAGACTGGAGATTCCTAAAAACAGCATCCAAGAACAAAAACCCCACAAATAACACCAAATAATTTTCTAATCTTAGAAACATGAAAACTCAAAATACTTGTCAAATATGAAAAGAACTCAGTAAGATGACTTGCAAGTAACAAACACACACATATAACGTAGAATAACTACTAATATAATAAATAGTATGAAACAACAGGATGATACCTCTTCATCTTTTACAGATATAGTACAGAAATTTTCTTTAATCCCCTGCAATTCATTTTGACACTCTTCCATCTTCATTCCATTTTGGAAAGTCAAGCATTCTCTTTAAAAGATAATAAAAGAAAGTAAGTGACTTCTTTCTGTTACTTAATGTCTAAGACCGAAACTTTTAGCAATGGTTTTGATATATTTTTGCCATATACATGGCAAAAGCTTTTCTAAATCCATCCCTTTCCTAAGAAGGCAATTCCAAGCAGTCCTGTAGTGATCTACATAATTAACCAAAACAAGAAATAATACATTACATGCAGAGTAGGACTGCTTAATACTGGGGCCTGACTTAAATAGTTACAGAAAAAGCCTTCATGTTATAATTCTTCAACCTCCCAGCACATAAGTCCCCTCACATAAAAGTGCCTTCTGCAAAAGCTGCAGATCTAATTTCTTCCAATGTCAAATTTTTTCACTAGTCAGAAAATCTCTGTAATCTATTTCCTTTATTTCTCTTTTACCACCCTTCATTCCTATTTTCAGGAAAGATTCAGCATGAAAGAAGGCAGAATGTCCTTATTTCTAGTTAAAGTAAAAACAAAACGTATGTTCCTGGTTTAGCTGAAAAACTTTAAAACACTTGGAAGTAAAACTCAGGAATGAAGTTACTACTTGCATTGTAAAGCAGGGACACAAGCAGCACAGGGATGAAGATTTGTCAGTTAGAAAGCAAACGTTTCATCAGGCTTGCCCTTGTGCCAATTACAGGGACTACATCTATAGTGACTTTTCAGCGGAGTAACTTCCTCATCAGTCCCTGACATCCCTATTTTCAGGAGGAATATTTTAGACTGCAGAGCACAAACTGTTCTGTGTCCAGCCTTGGGATGCTCATGAATTTTAACTGAAGTAGAAGTCTGTGTAATTGAGTCTCTTTCTCTGAATGTATCTCCCTGTGCTCTGCGCTAGGAGATCTGGACTCCCACCTTGGACAGGTCCATGGTTTTGCTAGTCAACCACGGGTCAGGAGGTCAGAGCTATTTCTGTAAAGCTTCACACTAGCATTTTTTTGTCCCATTACTAAAGTCATTATAGAATTTGGATCATGTTATCTTCACTGGGTATTTAAAGTATCTACACAGTGTTACATTCAAGAGTCACGGAGAGACTGGGGATCATGCTTGAAAAAACAGGCAAACAACCCCATTTCTCCTTGTTCTACTATACGGGTGCAGTTGGTTCAGTTAAAATCTGCTTTACCTTTTCCTGTCAGTCATGCAACTCTTCCAAGTGCAAAGGAAGTAGTCCAAGTAGTCCAGACATGAAGTAAATCAGCACAAGATTTAGCCAGGCTTTATGAATGTATATACACAATGAGCATATTAACAAAATACTAGGCCCATTTTTGATACAACATACCTGTTTTAATGTACTGGTTTGTTCAAGTCATGATATACATATCATACAATTAAATTCAACTGAGCAAAACCATAAGAATAATTAATATTTAAACTTGAAGAAACACAATTCAACAGGGTAAGAGCATGGATTTACTGGCAGCACATCTGAGAGGAGGAAAAATACAGCATGGAAGCATGTGTAATATCCTAGCCCTACTGAACTTAGTGACACTTTCATAGTAGGGAATCAGCCAGTTTGAGGGAGGACAAGGTCCCTTCAAGATGTACATTTTTTCAGTATTCCAAAACTAATAATCTGATTGCATTTCACACCTATAAAATGTAAAAATGACATCATTTAATTAATCCAGGCTTTTTTTAATATATATAAATTTCGCCCTCTCCATTCTTTCTTAAGATGAAAAGCGGAAGTCTTCACCTGTTGCAAATATAAAGTAGTTACAAAGGTAAAATACAACAAACTTTAAAATGTTAATGGCACCGACTATTTTAATATTGTACAGCAATTTATAGGTACCTGAAAATATTCTCTGCTGTTAAAATCTGTCCTTCAGAATCTAAAAGGGGATCTTTCACTAAAAAAAACTGTAGTCTGCTCAGAAGTATGGATAAAGTTGGCAGTTTTTTACGGAAATTTTCAAGATTATCAATAAAAATTAACTCCTCTTCCAAACATAAATCTGACAAAATAGAAAACACATTATAAAACAAGATAAAAATACTAAGAATTATCAGAATAAAGAGAATCATTGAGCAACTATGGCAAGGCTATAAATGTCAGCAAAACATGAACTGCTTTTTACTTTAAGCCTAAAAATCCTAAAACATTTGAAGTGCAATGAAGTCTGGACTTCCATGGTTCACATGATAACCTCTAGTTTTCTTTAGCTTTTTCTTTTGTCTTATATAATACCTGTTAAAAACAAAAGGTATTTTCTTTTTGATTCCTTGTTTGCACTTTAAAGTGTGATAAAGGAACTTCTGAGGTAAGTTCTGGCCAAGAAACTTAGCTCTGTGCAATTTTAAATGTAGAAATGAAGCACTGTCTCCATACATGTTTAAACCTAAATGCAGATTCCCTAATTCTGAAGAAAAAAAGAATTACAAAAAAGGCTGTAAATTACTGTGGTTTCAAGAAAGATGGCATTATCATATCAACACAGGCTGGGGGATGAACAAATCAAGAACAGACCTGCTGGAAGACTGTGGGGTGCTGGCTGACAAGAAGCTGGACATGACCCAGCCATGGGCACTCCCAGCCCAGAAAGCCAAACGTGTCCTGGGCTGCATCCAAAGCAGCGTGGGCAGCAGGGGAGGGAGGGGATTCTGCCCCTCTGCTCTGCTCTGGTGAGACCCCACCTGGAACCCTGCATCCAGCTCTGGGGTCCTTAGCAGAAAAAAGACATGGACCTGTTGGAGCAGGTTCATAGGAGGGATTACAAAAGCAGAGAAAGGAACACCTCTCCTGTGAGAAAAGGCTTGAGAGAATTGCTCAGACTGGAGAAGAGATGGCTTCAGGAAAACCTTGCTGTGGCTTCTCAGTACTTAAAGGAGGCCTATGAGAAAGGTCGGGCTAGACCCGTTCTAAGTCTTAGGTTTTAAACTTAGAGAGGAATAATTTAAATTACATATAAGGAAGCAGTTTCTTACAACAAGGGAGATGGTCAACGCCCCATCCCCAAGAGATATTCAATACCAGGCTGGATGACGATCTGAACAACCTGAGCTGATTACAGGGGAGTCGGACTCCCATAAAAGCCATCACAATATTCTACTTTTGGGTTTAAACTACTGCTCTCCTCAGACAGAAGTGATGCAGTAACCATATTTGACACATTCCCTTATATTTGCAGTACAAAATACATATGTATCTACACACACATTTTACACATATATGATACACATAGAAGGGCAAAGGGAGCTCTTTGTTCTTCTTCCTTATTTTCTTCCAATACAGAAGTCTCCTCCACATCCACTTTCATTCCTTGGATGACTCCCTATCTGTAATAACTCTCTGTTCTCTCATAGTGCCTGGAAATGATAGATACTGATTATGTTCCCACCAAACTGTTTTATGATGCTACCTCAAACTGATCTCCATTGAAAAAAAAAAAAAGAAAATCTATCTTAAGCTTCTTTTGGCCTGCATCCCTCTTGGATTATTAACATAAGCCCTGTTTCTCCAGGGAATAAATCTGTCTTTAGTAGTTGAACCTTATGCAACTGCAAAGTTTTTGACCACCAAATTATTTCATCAATGTCTCTGGAACATGCACAAAAAATTACGGAAGTTAACAAGATTACTGTACCAAAACTTAGAAAACAGTGAATTGAATACTTTACCTTGCTGTGGTTCTTTAAATTCAGTGGCATAGTAAATCTTCAAATATTTGTCTTGGGTGGAGTCTTCCTTAACACCATTCTTCATAAGTAAAAAAGGTTCTTCAGTGTCAGTCTGAGAGCAAGGATTTGAACTTGGAATAACTTCTACTAAATCATTACTAGTCTGAAACTCTATGGAGGAAACAGGTTCCCTAAAAAGCAGAAAAAAATATCTGACACTTAGGCTATAGCAAAATCAATGTTGTAACTTCCCTGACTCCTCAGTGAATCAAAAGCACTTAGGTGCTAAAAACTTTGATAATCAACATATTCACCAAAGAAGATTGGAAATTACAGAGTACCCTCTATTCACTAGGTCCATGGTCAAACTACAGGTTCAATTCTTCCCCAAGAAAAAGCCCTTTAAGTTTACACCCATCATCGAATTGAACAACAACAACAAAAAAGCATCAAACCTATTGATGTGATAACACTTGTGACAAAAATTTGCTGCTGGCTTAAATGTACACTTCTGTCTCAAAAACCATAAAGAAATTGCAAGTAATAGCAACAAGAAAAAGACAGTGAAAGTGAAGAAACAAAACCAATTTCCTATAACTTTTTATACGAACCTCAGTACTACTATTGTTTATTTATTAAGGAAATCTCCCTATCATTTGCCAAATAAGTAGGAAAATCATTTGACTTCAGAAAGGGAAAAAAATAAAGTCATCATTTTCCCAAGCTAAGCATATATCTGGACAAAACCGTTACAATAGTTGATTAATATATGTGCTAACGATGTACTACCCATATAAATTGACTGCAACAATATAGTAAGTCCAGCGAGTGTTGACATTTCTGATGCACCCAAATCAGCTCATCTATAGTTACTGTACTTAATATTCTTATTTCAGCCAACTGATTTCTCAATTTTGCATCCTACTGATTTATTCATATATTTAATAATACTTAGCATTACACCATCTTGCTATTTGCTAGTCATCTAAAGAAAATTCTCTTAAAAGCAATGTGTGCAAGTCCACCTCTGAAATTCAATACAGGACTTCATATGTAAACAGCAAAAGAGGGGAATCTCTGTTACACATCTTAAAAAAATCAATTATTTTACAACATTTTGATTATAGTTCAGAAGTTAATTTTGAAGGTACAAGAAGTAATGTTCACAAGTAATAACCACGTGGTACTGATAATAACTAATATCCAAAGTTTCACATGGCATAAACCTTTGAAAATCCATGAACCTTAAAACACTGCCCAAGTCACAACTTCACTGAAATCACTGGGTTTCACTATCACTGTTACAGATAAAACAAACCTAACTGAGTAGCTTATTTTGAGACTACATAGGCCACCTTTTCCAAAGTCAAAGCCCTAGTAAGGACTTTTCTAGAAAAGATTTTCTAGAAATGGCAAATATTTTAATGCAGACTATTCTAAGTATGGGAAAATATGCTCATGTCAAATAGCTAGGCTTGTACAGTTACATGAGATAATTGCCTTAGAAAGGGGAGGGGAAAAGCTTGTTTTCATTTTCATGCAGTTTTCAGAGACTTTGTCCAATGTCATAAATAGATTACACAACCATTAAAATATTATATAAAGAATCAGTGAACTCCATAAAAACATAATACTTCTTTCAATGAAAAAAACCTCAACTCTAAGCTATCTGATAGAGTGTACAGCTCCAGCACACTTGCTACTGCCAGGAAACATTTTCATGTTCTGCTTTCATCATTACCTTGTAATTCACAAAGTACCTGAATGAAATCAAAGAAATCATAAATGTTTTTAACTTAAAGTTACTGACTTTTCCAGGAAATCCTCCACAGGTAAACCTTTCTTCCATTGATCCAATACTGAAATAGCAATCATGTTCTGTGTTGAATCAACTAAGATGAAAAGGAGAGGAAAAAAGTCACACAGAAAATATAAAAACTAATTTTGATATATGAAATCATTGCAGAGGTTAATCAAACTTTACACGACATATAGAAAAAACAACACCTTTAGTTTTCCATTACCAAAAGATAATACAAATGTGCAAGAAAGATGCAAACACTTTTATACATTTATTTGCCTCTGTCATTTGAAAATATCATTTTCCACCACATCTCATAATCTCAGCATCATCCTCCAAACCTCTCCCAGCTAATCAGATTTCGTATTTTACTTATCTCTGATCATTGCTTTTCTTCCATAAACACTTCTATGGAAAGAAGTGTTTCCAGAGATCTCTACAAACTAATCAAATATCATTCTCATTTATGGTGCCACTCAAATAAATATCCATTACCAATTTGTTTCAATTTGAGCAATGAAGATGTTCTACCTTCAAGCACTCTAAGAACTGCCATAGTGCTATGTCTGGAAATATTTTTTTACCAGATTAATCACATTATGGATTAACACAAGCTTCTCCTTTAATCTACAGTAAATCTAAACTAAACTTCAGGATTATATAACATACTTCTAGTCCATGGCTTCCTATACTTATCATCAGCAAAGAGTCCATTGAGATGGTACTTTTCATCTTGATGTAAACAGGGAGGAAAGCAAAGTGATAATTTCCAGATGGAAAACTTCTGCCTTGCCATGCTCTGAACAAAAAAAACATGTGATAAAATCATGAGAGTTCCATTTTTAGTGCACTGCCTCTTCAAACATTCCCACTGCTTTCAAGGGTTTTCTACTAGAACACGATATTTTATAATTAAACCTTATTTTTGTAATGCTAACACTGTCCAAACTAAGAGAAGATACTAACATTCACCTGATTTGCTATTTAACTGTTAATCTACATCTCTGAGTAAGCCAAATTGCATGTACACTTAGCTACACTTTAAGTAAATTTTGAACGTGCAGTCACAAGTGCTTATCTTAACACTTGGAATGATCTCCTGAATAGACACATGGATAAACCAAACAGAAACAATTTAGTATTATTCCTTCTTCAGTTTCAAGTGCTTTTCATAGTCTAAGGCCTCTTGTTATAATGTGCCATTGTGAGCTAATGAAAGCCCTTTTAAAGCCTTTCATTTTCACTAAAACTAGGGGTAGTAATCAATTGAATTCTGGAATTAAATAGTCTGTGTGGTAAGTTTCGTAACTTTTCACAGAATACCAAGTTCAATAAACTGTCTTACAGCTCTTCTGTCACAGAAGTCCATGCCCAGTATTGTAGAAAGAGCACAGAACCACAGAATTATCAGTGTGTTCAGGAAGCAAAGAAAAGTTATACTTACATCTTTGTCTTTAACAAATTTATCGATAGGAGAAGAAGAAAGAAGTTGTTCTTTAAAAGTGTGTGGAGTAAAGGCATATTGGAAAAGAGAATTAGCTACAGTCATGTGGAAGAACATAACTAATGAGACCAGAAACTTTTCTCTAGTTGTAAACCCATTGCCTCACTTCAGCTGTGTTGCTTCAGGTCCCAAAATTCCCACCCATTTCAACATATGCTGTCAAGCCAAATACAGCTTGTACTGTTAGACATCTCAGGTGACAAAACAGAAATATTTGAAATATTTCATTGACTTGCACTGCAACCAGAATAACCATGCTATTGGTGTACTTTCCAAACCTTAATTTCTAAGAAAATAGAAAATTTAGGGGAGAGGAAAAGAGAGAGAGGAAAAAAACCACAATAAAAAAAATCAACACAAACAAAGAAACAAACAAACAAATACATAGGAAGCAATGAAAACAAATACTGTCACTTCATCAATAGAATTTTTTTCTCCATTCCAGTTTAATCCTTTGTGGGATAGTTACAGTTCTGTCAATACTAGTTAATTTTAATTAAAAAAAGCAAAAACAATTGCCATTGTAGCATCTTTTCATTAAAAGGCTCTTGTGAAAATACAAATCTGATTAAATGCAGTACCTCTTGCCTAAGACAAAACATGGCATTTCCTAAGTGATCTCTTACACAAATTCTGAATAAAGTAGACAAAAATCAGACAACTACAGGCAGATGGACCTATGCCTTCTACAAAGTATTGACTTGAATAACTTGTAGGTAATTGGTATTGAAGTTACTGCTGAAACAGCTGCATTTATTGTAAAACAAAAAGTAGCTAGTGAATTTCTTAATAGAGATAACAAGAACAGAAAATGCTAAGGATAACCCTTCTCATCATTAAAAGAAGCTGTCAGAATTGTCACATAAAAGTTGTCAAAGGACTCTTAGGTTAAACAATAATGCTACTGCTACTGTAGAAATAAAAGCAAATAAGTGCATGAAATAATAAAATAGAGATCAGAAAGAAATTTGAAACACTACTATGTAGCTTAACTGAGGCTAACTTTAGCTTAATAGCTAAAATTGTTTTCTGTTGCTAATATTTGTGAAGTGGAAGAAATACATCCTAGAGCTATAGGCAATAGCCTTAAACCAGGACACTTGTGCATTTAACAAAATATTTTAAATTAAATAGTTCTAAGTGTAAAGTTTAAGATGAATTAGTTCACTTTATAAGGTCTGATAAGACACAATCTTTCCTGACATTCTCAATATAAAAAAGTGTTTCTCAAGGCCATTATTAATGGCTGCAGCATTCAATCATTGCATGTTTACCCCTGTTTATGAAGAAAATATAAAGGTCTCTGCGCATTTCTCTTCTAACTGAAAGATATTATGTGCATTTTCCCAGTTTCATTCAGTTTGCATGCATTGTCAGTTTATAACATGGGAAAACCTTGCACTACCATGATGACTTTGCAATCACACCTACAACACTCAGGAGCATGAAGTATGAAACTCTTACACCTAGGACGGCTGAAAAGGCTCCTTTCTTCAAAGATACTTATTAAGGGAAGGTGGAAAAACCATACCTGGAATTGATGTAATTGCATAACAAGTATATTAGGAGTAGGATTCTGCATTCAGTTGAGTCATGTATGTGCAGGAAGCAGTTTGATATAAGGTCATCGAATTCCAGCATATCCTAAAAGCTGGAAACTTTAATCAAGTGCACCTGATACATGGAAAATCAACGTAACTTTCTCTAGAGGCTACCAACTAGGCACAAGAGCGGAATCAGAAGCTGCAGTTTGAGCACAGCATTTCCCTTGCACAGTTAGATCTGTAATACCTTTAAATGCATGACCACATCCATTAGCCCCTTCTGGAAGCACTACAGAGCAAGATTTACACTTTTGCAGAGCAGCCATTCAGCAGGTCACTCAGCATTTCTCTTCTAAAAGTTTTCAGTTGTCCTGATGTCAGCACCATCCTCCTCAAAACTCTGGCAAGAAAAGCCACGTAATTCTTTTCTTTGGCATATAGCCCACATCACGTTTTGCTAACACATCAATTTTTTATTTGTAGATAATATAGAAACAACTGGTGATCAAGCTGAATGGAACTACATTCAGAAGATTTCCACCTGCATGACAGACTGCATACTGTTGGAATTACAACAGAAAAAGAAGTTCTGGTCGCTACAATCCAGGAAAATAGTAGGTACATACACCAGCACTATGCGGAACAGGTGCTGTACTCTAAGGAATGGGATATGGGCAATGTTTCATAACACGGATTGCAAGAACTATTGCTGGACCACTTCCCAGGCTGCAGTTCTCCAGTTATGTGCTAGGAAAGCTCCTGTGTGTCCTTGTACTCTCCCTGAACTCGTGAAGACATCATGTCTCGCTACATTGCTCTGCTCACACACTACAAACGCCCCCCTCAGGCAAAGAACCCCTTTAACTCTCTACCAGAGAAGTTTTGTGTTTGGTCTGCTGCTTTTCTTTGAAAATTTAAGTAAAAACCCAATTATGACAAGGTGCTTCGAGGATAAGCGGTTGGCAACATCACAGAGGGAGACAGGAACGAAAACAAGACTTCACAAGGCTTCTAGATCTTATGTGATCAAAATCTGTAAAGCCAAAATATTTACTGTTGGTGCAGACAAAAAAAAAATCTCCTTTCCATGAATTTAATTTAAGACACTGCAAAAATTTTTCCCTACAATTAGGGAAATTAAGGAATTCAGTATTGTGTATCACTACTCTAATACACGCCAAAGTAGCTACAAAGTTGGATTAGTTCTGCAGAAATTGATTTAATTTAATTTAATGCATTAAAAGACACAGGGTATTCTCCAAAGAAAGCCCAAAACAGGAAACTTGTATGTGCATGATAAATAAATAATAAATGTAACAGACACTAAAAATAACTGACGCTTTTCAGTCTGTGCAAAATTGTACTTAAATTTTTTATTTAAAATCCTGTAATCAATTCACTATGTTATTCCACAAAATGCAACATAAACACCTTTCTGAAAGAGAATTCTAAAGAAAGTAGCTCTTGCTGTCTTTTTTAATGTGGACTCAGCATTTTCATTACTAGCTGCTCTATTTTGTTCAGAGTATTAAGAGAAACAATAAAACCATACCTCATATAAATAGTCTGTTGAGTGATACTTCAAAGCTGTAAATATCTTGTTTTGTGACATTTTCAACATTTCAGTTATCTAGAAGACACACAGGATACGGATCAGGTAAAAACCTTTTATATCACCTCAAAATGTTGAAAGAGAAGGCTGAGTATCAGGTTCAATGTGAATTGTTTCATAATTTCTAGCACATACACCATGGACTGAATTTGCTGTAGCAGAAGGCCACACAAGGCATTCAGTATTCTTCCTCTGGAAGGATGTAACAGACCAACTACAGACCATGAACATTTGATTTTTATCTGAAAGAACTGGGATTTGTTGTGTTTTTTTTTGTTTTGGTTTGTTTTTGTTGTTGCTGCTGTTTGTTTGTTTGTTTTGAGGCATAGACCTCTTGATGTTTATTTCTCAGACAACCTTTAGAACCATTACGTGAATACAGGCAATACAACTTACCTCCCTTAAGCAAAAACTCTTAAATTAAATGATTC